GTGTGTGTGTGTGTGTGTGTGTGTGTGTGTGTGTGTGTGTGTGTGTGGGGAAGAGCAGGATACTCGCTAACTTTTCTCCCTTTCAAGACTTGTTTACACCACCACACTGCGTCCTATGCTGTGTCTTGGGTGCATTCAGGTTCCAGGAAGTGAGGCTGAGCAGGAGAATGAGAATGATGATGAGGAGGAGGAGGAGGAGGAGGAGGAAGGGTCTCTGATCTCTGAGCAGGGTCCTCAGAACCAGGATGTACGTACTTTGCATGCTGGGAAAGCGGCGCAGGTCGCCTCCCCCTCTCCCTGTGGGAAAGCATGCGAGACTTGGTGGTTTTGTTCAATTGGTGGTTTGTTTCTGTTTGACTTCTTGTCGGCGGCCACAAACTGGAATGGGTGCTTGATGTTTTGATTAGAGTGCCTGGTCTGGGTTTTCTGTGTCGATGTCACTGAGGTGATTATTTCTGTCCGTCTCTGTGTTGCGTCTGTTGGGTCCGAACTTCTGGACACAGAGAGAAATCGCCCCCCCTTCCTGCAGCCATGTGCTCTCAATCGCCTCCAAAACACAACAGCAGGTTTAAGTCAAACTCAAATGGATTTATTATCCAAGAAGCATAAAACAGATACAAACCGAATCACACTATTAATAACAAAACAAACATATAAAATGAAAGTGAGGCCCTGTCCAGGCCACACGACATACATGTCTGCCCCATGCTCAGGAGGAGGTCTGAATCTCTCCTGCCATTTCGAAGAGCCTTTGTCCCTCCAAAGTTACATTTCTCAGCTCATCGATCAGCTCATTGATTGGCTGAAGTCCAACAAGCCCCTCCTGGGCCGATGCCCCATTGTTACTCTTAACACCTCAGCCAGCCACTTTCACACAACCCCCCTCGCTCCTGCACATTCCTCAAACCTGATCACACAGACACTCAAGCACACTACTTGGTTCAAACTCCTACAAGTAAATGCACTGTATATGCACATAATATCCATCATTAGGAGCTTTTAAAACTTAAATCCCTCACACTTCTAAACGTTATTTATGAATAACATCCGGTAGGCACAGCTTTGTCCTGGTCAAATTGATTTAGGTTTAGGACATGAACTGTTTGTGTGACGATGACAAAAAATATTTGGGGGGCGTGGGGTTTCTTCTTCTCGGTTTTATCTCACCGAGACCACCCTGAAACTTGTGTTATTGCTTTCCATTTCCAGCCTTTGCCTGTCCACACACTCACAAAGCTACTGTTTGCAATTGGTTGATGTTGTTTTATTTTTGCATGGCTTTCTGTGTGCTTTGGAGAAAGGTAAGTTGTGACTCGGTATGTATTTTGCTCAGGATGAGACGGACTCTTTTTCTTTTTTTTTTTTTTTTACATTTCCCCCCCTTTTGTCTCTGCAATATTTAAATATTTCTGAAGTCATAAGCAGTGTCCCAATTCCTAACAATATACACAAAACTCAAGTATGAATTCTAAAAAGTATGCTTTTTTTTGTTAATGCAATTTCCGCAATGCGTAAACCAAATGGAACTGCTCACAGCTGCAAAGAAATTAAAATAAATTCAGAAACGGCTTCAGAAACACTAAAAGTGTTATCGTTACATTTTTGTCAGTATTGACGGTTAAGTATACAGATTTTTTTTCTGTATAATAACTTCATACCCTGTATACTATAAATAGTATGTACCATGTTCGGAATTTGGTCACAGCCATTGTTAATGAAACACTGGCACATTTAATAACTGTGTAATATCAGTTATTACACTAGATGGTGCTATTGAACCAGACCTTTAAATTCAGCTTGTTAAGCAGAAGGTGAAAACGCAGATCAAATTGTCCAAGAACAACTGAATTTATGCAAAGCTGACTGCTTTGATTTTAGCAGATGTTGTACCGAAGAACTCTATAAAGACAGAAGTCAAGATCATAGAGTGTGATGACGTTAACAAAAGGTGTCTCATTTTAGGGCTCGGCAAAGAAAGAATCTACCGCTGTTCCTAAACCCAAGAGAGGGAGAAAGAAAAAGGTTGGTAGTGTGTATTAATGTGTTTGCCTTCAGTGAGTATACAAGCTATGAAAATGCATTTCATAAGATGGTATGTTATCATCTTTCTTTTCTTTTTTTCCAGAGTGATGCTGAGCAGGAGACTGAAAAACACGATGCTCCTGTTAGTCCTGTTAGTCCCTCAGGTAGGCCGTATTTGCACTGTATCTGATTTTGTTTCCACTGTAAGTAGAATTTTTGTCATTCAGCTCTGCATGTGCATAAACTGGATTTAGAATGTGTGTTTTTGTGACCAGGTGCAGAAGTTCCTAAACGAAGAGGCAGGAAACCCAAAAGTGAGAAGTTACTTTTGCTCCAGCAGGACCAGCAAGGCTCAGGAAGTGAAATGTAACTACATGAAAATTAACATCAAATGTACACACAATGGAAAATGCTCACATACGTGTGTGTTTCTTGTACACCACCTTTGCTTGGGTGGCGGGCGTTGAATTATCTGATCCTACAAGTAAGAATGAATGCTTATATTCTTTCGTTTTGATCACAAGTTTGTCAAATTGGCACTGTAGAGGGAGCTGACCCTTAGCCTCTTATCAGACCCTTTCTCTCACATTTAGGGACACTGCCGAGTCAGAGAGAAAGAGAAAGAGGGCAGCAGAGGACAAGTCCAAGAGTGGAGACGAGGAGAAGAGAAAGAAGGAGGACAGCAAAGGAAAGGAAGCAGAGGTGAAGGAGCCTGAAGCCAAGAAGAAGAAGAAGGACGACAGCTCCTCAGGCTCTGACGATGAAGAGGCAGGCGTCGAGTCCAGCACGATTCCTCCTTTTCAGAAATTTGGGTGAACAGTCGGTGTGATGCTTTCATGCACATGATTTTGATTTCTTTTAATCTCAGAAAAACAAAGGCAGAAAGAAACACCAAAACTCCGAAATGGACAAAGATGTGCGGCGACGGAAAGCCGATGAATTAAGAGAGTACGTATTCATACGAAACCCAATATAGAAAAAAACATGAATAACAAAGTACAATCATCAGCTTATCATGTTGACTCTATTTATAACACTATTTAAGATGTCAACTTAGCATTAGCAGAGGTATAGATATATTTCTGACATGGTTTGGTTATTCTGTCTTGCAGGCCAAACAAAGATGATGGGAAGAAAAATGAGGAGAGGACAGGAGTCAAGAAAAAGGGTGAGTGCTGTTCAAACATCAAAATGCAATCCTGAAATCTCCCTATTAGAATTTAATTACATAACAGGTATTGAGATTACAGTCGTCTGTGCAGCTGAAAACAGGGGAAAAGTCTGAGCTTTATTCGCAATACAACGCTGTAGCCCAAAAACCCAAATTTAAAAAGCTGTTGCGTTTCCCGAAACATGTTTTTGAAACGGAAATCATTCTTAAATCCACACTTACGTTGGATTAAGAACGTTTAGTTAAGCGAAACCATTTCCATCATGATGTTTTCTTTTCCACAGAAATGTCAACTGAGTTGAAGCTCCAGAGACTCCACAGTGAAATCAAGATCTCACTGAAAATAGACAACCCTGTAAGTTGGATCATAAACGCAACACGTCAACGTTCTCCTCTGACAACTTTGCAAATCAATGTTTTCTTCATATTCCCCTTCATGCACTGAACTAACAAAACCGTCTTTGCATTTTGCTTCGGATTGTTTCATCCATGTTTGTCCATTCATCTAAATGTATACTTCTAAATGCCTTCACGTCTTTTATTTTTACTTTTGCTTGCTTCACTCTTGTCCACGGCCCTCGTGCTCCCGCCTCACCAGGATGTGAAGAAGTGCTTGGACGCATTAGACGACATCGGTGCGCTTCAAGTGACAACCCAGCACCTGCAGAAGCACAGTGAACTCATCGCCACCCTCAAGAAGGTACGCCGTCCACAATCCAGCTAAAGTACGACTGTTTTCAAGTTGAACCAATCAAAACCCACGCTCGTTGTTTAATCCGTCTTCTAGATCCGCAGATTCAAGGCCAGCCAGGACATCATGGACAAGGCCACCATGTTGTACAACAAGTTCAAGAGCATGTTTCTGGTTGGAGAAGGCGACTGTGTGCTCAGCCAGGTGCTCAACAAGTCTTTAGCTGAACAACGGCAGCACGAGGAGGCCAAGAAAGGAGCACTGAAGAGAGTGGAGCAAGCCAAGGAAAACAACTCGGGTACTTTTTTTTTTTTTTTTTTTTTTTTTGTTTACTATCGTACAGCAAGTACTTTTGGTGTACAAATACCATTTGTTCAGTAAGTTTAAGAACAAATTCGAAATTTCAGACGTAATAGTATTCTCCGTGAAGAAATGACTGTAGGTACATACGATACATTTAAGACCTCTTATCACCTAAAATGATGACACACTGATAATTATCAGATGTTCCGGATTTAGTTTTTATGCCAATGCAACAAGCTATTATTAATTCTGCTTAAAGAATTATTTAAGGGATTATTTAAGGGACCTTTTCTATTTTACTCGAGCTGCTTGTTTCTAGTGCTGGTCACATGGGTGAGTGGTTCAACAAAAAAGGGTGAACGACTAAAGAGTTTGATCACCAGAAGTATTTGTGAGTCCTTGAGACTTCGGCTCCCTCTGTATGCGTTGTTCACCGCTGCTGCAGTATAACTTGTTAAAATGAATTTTCATCAGGACACACTTTGTGTCTCTGGTGTTACAGAATCTTTCTAAACCAGCTTTAGTATTTTTCCGGTCAGAGTTTTTTCTCTCAGTCCATACAGCTATTTACCCAGCTGTTCATGATTTCATTGGACACATTTAGGTCGGTGTAAATGTGAATGCCGAGCCATGTTAAAGAAATGTACTTCACCCAGAAAGTACCTCCATGGTGATCAGAGGATCAGAAATGGGAGAGAGGTTTTGAATAATTGCAGTAAACGGAGGCCGCCTTGAACCGCAAAACTATATCAAAACGCTCTCTAATCCGAGTCTCATCCGAGCTGAGTACTTCTCAAACACTTCTCTAAAACCTTACTATTAAAAACACTTCTCTCACGCTCCAGACTTGCACGGTGCAAGCGTGCTGGTTATCATAATTTATATTTATAATATTCATATGTAAAACAAAATAGAGCTGGCAGTACTTCAGCACATGGCAGCTGGTACAGTGAGAGATGGCTCGGTCAGGTGATAGAAGTTATGTCATAATGCGTGCCTGCTGGTTATTGATTATATTACCAACCGAGTCAAATATGAAAACCAGACAACAGAGACATTGAAGCTTTTAGTTTCCTCTATCTCTCCCAGGAGGACATCATAGGATCACTGTGGTTAACATTCTTAGTAGGAACACATCCATGCTCTATTGACTCACTTTATCTGTGTACGTGCTACACTTCCACTTAAAATCATCTCTGTGAAAGGTCTCTTTCTACAGTAAGCCATGCCAAATGGATGGAAAATCATGTTGATCTCATTTAGGACCGGAGCTCAGCGTGTGCCATCACATGCTCCTGCGAGTTCTCCTCTCTGCGGTGTTTTAGGTCTGGGGTGATGTTCTGTCTGACTGAGCCTGTCTCTCTCTCTCTCTTTCTGTCTGTCTGTGCACCACAAAAGACAAGATGACAAATGGTGATATCGGCCCCGAAGAGAAGAGGCAGGACGCGGAGAGAGAGAGGCCTCTTGAGGACACCTCGGTGGGAGAAAATCACAGGTAGTTCACCCAACACCTGCACACCTGCGACATCGGTGCAAATCTATTTTGTTCTATCTCTGTTTTTATGCCTCTGCGCCGCCGACCACATTATGCTTTACGGGTAGTCCGTCCCATTCTGGTGAACGCGATATCTCAGGAATGCCTGGTGGAGAAGTTCCATTACATCGGGCACAAACGACCTCGTCTCTCACTGATGAACTGATTGCAAGTTGGAGGTCAACATGTTTTTCATTCATTAATCTGCTAATCATGACAATTTTATAACAAATGTCTAAAATGATGGATGTAAACTACAACTTGACTGGTTGGTGGAAGCATACAACTGCGAAGCTATAATTCCAGTTTTAATATATGAAGAAAATAACAGTTACAGTATAAAAGCAAGAACATACAGGCATAGAGAAGAAACAATATCTTTAAGTATAATGCTGGCTTTACGCTATGTTTTTCTTATTGTTTGCAAATCCCATATTAGTCTGTCACTCAGTTGCCACAAGCCCACCATGAATCTTATTTTAAAGATTTTAAGTTACATATTTTGAAAGGGTCAGTCATTTTCTAAAAGCGCTGGGTATTGTAGTTTCCAGCAAATGTTACTCAAACTGCAGTAAACCGTGCTTTTGTTAGGGACTATTTTAAGGTGTGGATTAATACACATTTGGTGCTCTAGCGAGTAGTTAAGTGTCGGGACACAATGTATGTGGCCATGTGGGATTGACTCAAGGTGAACTACAGCAACCATGTTCATTGAACTGAAAGTGTGGCTCATCAATGTTTTTTTTATATTTTTCGGACAACGGCAGCAGCTTAGTAAAAGAAGCTGCTACACCACACTGCTGATACTGCCTTAACCCATTTCTTCATTTTCTGACTGTAGTGCCCCAAAAGCTCAGGAAGAGTCCGCTTGAGTGTCCTACGTGCCCGGAGGAAAGAAGACATTTGCTGCTTTGTTCAAACCGGGCTGACCAACGGTTCAGCTCCTTTTGATGACTGATAGTGATCACTGGTTTCCACTCCCCAGATAGACCGACTGCCTTTTTTATTTTTACTTTGTGTCTTTAAAAAGGTAAATATTACACAATCTGTCACACCTGTTGAATTTGAGTAATGACTGTGTAGAGAGTTAGAAATAAATCTGCAGCACTTTGACCTTAGAGACATGATTAGTACCAACTGGTCCTATTTCTCACTGGTGGAGTAGATGGCTTTTCATGTCCTCGATCATTGCATATGCATTTAAATAGTTTGACATTAAGAGAATCTACAGTTCGATCTTAACTTCACTTAGTGTATTGAAGTACAGATGCTTAGTTTTAGTTAGAAGTGCCATTCCCGTGTTCAATAATATTGGCTACATTAACATTTTTAAAGATTTCTAGTTTGCCAAAGTTTTCTCAAACATGTTCAAGTGTCTTGTTTTAAAAGTTTCATTTTTAACGTAGATGTAAATAAGAGTATTTTTGTGCCCGTCTGTTCCAGCATCCAATAAAAAAGTAGTGCAGAAAATAATCCTTGTCTTTTTAATCTTATATTCTCAATGATTGCATGAAGATCATGTGGCAATCTTAAACATTGCTGTTGTGGTTGTACAGAACAACTCAAAGATCTTTCTCTATTGATGAAATTAGATTTTTAACTACCGGGGTTATTGCTGTTATGTTGCTATTGCTATCAAGTTGTATTTGTTCCTTTAGGTTACTAGAAATGGATTTCCTCAATGAGCTTCTTGGGATGATCGGTTCACAAGTCTTCTGTATGTTTGTGCTATTCTCACAGGTTTGAAGTGAGTGGTAACCAGTCATAAATGTGCATCAAAATCTGACTGTTGGTGCCAAGTCACTATCAAACCATACCAAAACAGTCTTGATGAAGCATACAAGCTGAATATTTGACGGTTAAACTAAATATAACTAAGAATATTTTTTCCAAGATTTGTGCGTTTAATGAATATTTAAAAATGAACATTAAACACTTTCCAATAAATGTTAGTTGATTTCAAACAGTCAGTAAAAATGTAAGCATTATTGTGCAAAAACGTGTTTATTTTGAAACAATATATACATTTCTCTTTGAGATATAAAACATTGCAGTCTATTACGCAGCATAAATAAGTGATCTGATCCAAAGAAAATAAATTAGTTGAATGCACCACGGTCCACATAAGGATAGGCCATGAAATCTCCTATCTTGTTGCCTTGAGCGTCGTAGTGCAGCATCCGGAAGCACTTGTCACAGAAGAGACACGGGTCACTCGCAGCAAACTGGTCGTTGGTTGTGAGCCACCTGGAAAGAGTCGGGGATGGTAAACTCGTGTTCACAGTTTAAGAACACCAGAGCACTTTTTTGACCCACCTTCCGATGTAGACGTGGCACACGGCACACTTCTGGGTGGTGACCCTGTGCTTGTGTGTGAGAAGTGGGTACAGCTTCTTGTCCAGGCAGTCGTTGGCATGGGTCAGTCTGCAACGTGTACAAAAAGAGGGAACATTCGTTTAGAGCCTGAGATGTGACACATCTGTGTCCTGTGTGATATTAAGAGCGGCTTTCATGAAAACCGTAAATCACCTTGGATAATTACGATTTCTCAGAGCTAGAAAGTCTTGTGAGAGCAGTCAGATCTTGTCTGACAACGAAGGGCTTTATTTCAAAAGGTTGAAGTCATAAGACATTCAGAGAGGGTCGTGTTGCGGGCCATGTGTCGACATATCAGACAATGTATAATTGTTGTGGCGGTGAAGTTTATTTAGGTAGAGGGCATGTTCAGTGGCTTGATCATGCCATTTCCCATACCAGTATGTGCTTCCAACGCAAAACAAGCAGCCAATTCATGTCGTGGTAGCAAGAAAAAAAGGTTCTTGGACCGTCAGTGAAGAGCTTCATGAAGACAACAAATACTTGTACAAGTGTCTAGGTGTATCTCATATTGGCATTAGATATTGTCAATTTTAACATTGTTGTGATGAGCAAGCAGCACAAGTTAATCAAGGTGGACAGAAGTATGCGTTAAGTTTGACTAATGAACATGGTATTTATGTCGATATTCCCACGTGACCGATGAGAGAGCGTGCATTAAAAGCGGTCACGATGTAGGCTGTAGAACAAGATGTCAACAGTCTCCAGCCATGCTAGCGGTTGTAGACTAAACAGATGTCAACCTGCGGGTGGCACTCAAGTAAAAATTCCTCAAAGTCATTAGGTTTCATTGACTATGAAATATAAATTAATCTTGTATACAGTTGTGTGAAAAAGTGTTTGCCCCCTTCCTGATTTCTTATTTTTTTGCATGTTTGTCACACTTAAATGTTTCAGATCATCAAACAAATTTAAATATTAGACAAAGATAACACAAGTAAACACACAATGCAGTTTTTAAATGAAGGTTTTTATTATTAAGGGGGAAAAAAAATCCAAACCTACATGGCCCTGTGTGAAAAAGTGATTGCCCCCTAAACCTAATAACTGGTTGGGCCACCCTTAGCAGCAACAACTGCAATGAAGCGTTTGCAATAACTGGCAATGAGTCTTTTACAGCGCTGTAGAGGAATTTTGGCCCACTCATCTTTGCAGAATTGTAATTCAGCCACATTGGAGGGTTTTCGAGCATGAACCGCCTTTTTAAGGTCATGCCACAGCATCTCAATCGGATTCAGGTCAGGACTTTGACTAGGCCACTCCAAAGTCTTCATTTTGTTTTTCTTAAGCCATTCAGAGGTGGACTTGCTGGTGTGTTTTGGATCATTGTCCTGCTGCAGAACCCAAGTGCGCTTCAGCTTGAGGTCACAAACAGATGGCCGGACATTCTCCTTCAGGATTGTTTGGTAGACAGCAGAATTCATGGTTCCATTTACCACAGCAAGTCTTCCAGGTCCTGAAGCAGCAAAACAGCCCCAGACTATCACACTACCACCACCATATTTCACTGTTGGTATGATGTTCGTTTTCTGAAATGCCGTGTTACTGTTACGCCAGATGGAATGGGACATACACCTTCCAAAAAGTCATGAACACTGACCTTAATTGAGGCAAGTGAGGCCTGCAGTTCTTTGGATGTTGTTCTGGGGTCTTTTGTGACCTCTTGGATGAATCGTCGCTGCGCTCTTGGGGTAATTTTGGTCGGCCGGCCACTCCTGGGAAGGTTCACCACTGTTCCATGTTTTCGCCATTTGTGGATAATGGCTCTCACTGTGGTTCGCTGGAGTCCCAAAGCTTTAGAAATGGCTCTGTAACCTTTTCCAGACTGATAGATCTCAATTACTTTGTTTGTCATTTGTTCCTGAATTTCTTTGGATAGCAGCATGATTTCTAGCTTTTGAGGATCTTTTGGTCTACCTCACTTTGTCAGGCAGGTCCTATTTAAGTAATTTCTTGATTGAGAACAGGTGTGGCAGTAATCAGGCCTGGGTGTGGCTAGAGAAATTGAACTCAGCATTCCAAAGATGTGATAAACCACAGTTAATTTATGTTTTAACAGGGGGGGGGGGCAATCACTTTTTCACACAGGGCCATGTAGGTTTGGATTTTTTTTTCCCCTTAATAATAAAAACCATTTAAAAACTGCATTTTGTGTTTACTTGTGTTATCTTTGTCTAATATTTAAATTTGTTTGATGATCTGAAACATTTAAGTGTGACAAACATGCAAAAAAATAAGAAATCAGGAAGGGGGCAAACACTTTTTCACACAACTGTATGTAGAGATATTTCACTGGGGCCACTCAGAGGGAAATCATTTTAAAGGAACAGTATGTAGCATTTAGGAGGATCTATTGGAAGTAATGCAATATAATAAGTGTTTTCTTTAGTGTGTAATCACCTGAAAATAAGAATTGTTATGTTTTCATTACATCAGAATGATGTAATGACGTTTATATCTACACACAGCGCAGGTCCTCTTCACAGAGCTGGCCGCCATGTTTCTACAGTAGCCCAGAATGGACAAACCAAACAGTGGCTCTAGAAAGAGCCATTCACGTTTTCGTGTCTGCCAACTGTAGTCCTGCTACACGTTTGGCACAAGGGAGAAGATTCAGTTGGATGAAAGTTGCAACCTCACTGCTAGATGCCGCCAAATCCTACACACTACACACCATTAAAACTAACTTCATAACCAAAATTGAAGGGAAAAAAACACATTAATTACTTCGTGTTGTGGAGACGAGGGCACAGAAACTGGAATAGAACTGGGAAATATCAGGCGTCGGTTGGAGGGTTGTGTTTCTCAGGCTGTGTCCATTAGGGCTGCACAATTATGGCCAAAATCATAATCACGATTATTTTGATCAATATTGCGATCACGATTATTTATCACGATTATTCATTAATTTTAGGGACAACATCTTTTTATTGCACTTTCACATTTAAATGAACAAGAACACTGCTTCCACTTCCATTGTTGTGCTACATTCTGGCTAATGCATCAGGCACAGTGCATCTCGTAGAAGGAAAATATAAATAAAATAGTATCAACACTTTTCACCCAAAATTAAATCAACAGAGCATTGCTTTCACTTCCATGTTGTGCTACATTCCAGCTAATGTACGTCTTTGCATCAAAATAAAACTTATACGGTTCTTATTCACCTGTAGAAAATTTTTTACCCAAAATAAAGGGCTAACTAAAAATAAATATGCCATCGCAGAAATAATTGCGCAAGGGGATCACGTATCTCTTGTCTAGTGTCTTGACCATTTTTCTGAAGCCTTCATTGCGCACAGTATTTATTGGACACATGTCTTTGGCCAAATGAAATGCGATTGCATCCGTTATTTCAGCGTGTCTTTGGGAGGTGGATGGATACGCTGTCGCGCTATGCAGGGTCACTGTTATGGTTTTCTGGGTTGAAGTTGGACATGGACGGAGATTCAGTGAGGTAACGTTAGCTTTGGCCTTAATGCATTCGTCGTACTGTGGTTTGTGGTGATTTTTCGGGTGGTTGAACAAGTTAGTTGTATTGCTATGCGGCGCAGACACAACTCTAACGCACTCTGTGCATATGATTTGTTCTTGGTTAACATCACTTGCCCTAAATCCAAAAAACTTCCAGACAACGGATGATGATCCTTGTCGAGGGGCTAGCTCCGCGCCTTCTGCTCCTGACATTTGATTGACCTTTCACACGACACCCGTGACCGTCTGCTCTCTGTTCTGTTGTCTGTCTCTCTACTCGTCTACTAATACCGGAGTCGACTGCAGACAGAACTTTCTTTTAGGCTGCCGCTGCAGGGTGCGCGCATGACACCTCCCATCTCGTTCTCCCCCAAGTGGTTGGCTGACTGTTAGTTGAGGAAGCGCTTGATTCGATTTGTAGCAGAGCACGCATTTAAACGTCAATATCGCAGACGATCATGCTCATTTAATTGTGGCAGCCAAAAACGTGATCGCGATTAAAATTCGATTAATCATGCAGCCCTAGTGTCCATATAGCGTTTTTCTGCTATACATTTTAGACGAGCACATAAACTCTCTCCACATTAAGATCGAATGCAAAAAGACTCAGCCTCCCTCTGCATGGAGGATTCCACTGCCTTGATTCTCATCGTGCAGAGTCTCAAACACTTCCTGCTCAAAATACACCGAGCCTTTTGTCAGTGTTGTTGGTGCCGCTATCCTGATCTGCGTGACGGTCTTGCAAGAGGCATTCAGTAAATTATTTTAACAAGTAGCTGTTACTAATTATTTACAGATTTTAAATTGATTTGAAAAGATTCATAAAATTATACTTCCCATGTCTTAGCATTTTTAAGACTTCTGAATGACTGATGTCAGACATTTTAATACCAATGGAGGCCTTTATTTGTAGATGAATGTATTCAATGACTTTTAAGACTTTTTAAGGATCCGCGGGAATCGTGAAAAATCCGGAAAGCACAGCACTGACCTGACGTCTGTGATGATGACGAGATGTTCGCAGTCTCCCTGATGACAGTAGAGGTACGGGAAGCCCACTTTGACTTTCAAACCGGCAAATCTTGTGTCTTCCATCCTGGCTTGGCTGTAGGGTGGGAAGTTGTGGGACTTTGCCCATTCAATGACAGTCCTGTAGCATAAACACCCAGAAGGGACATGACGAGATTATCAAAGACAGGTCTGTTTATTTTAAAGTTAAATCAAAACTTCCAGTATCTGGTATCTTTTGAGCTGTTCATTCGGAGAATATGTTTTTGTTGTTTTATGGTCACACATTATTTCTTCAACAATGCTTTCCCTAGTGAGGATGGAAGTTCAATGTTCTTCCCCAAATATTAGACCATTCCCTTTGATCTAATTGTGAGCATGATTCATAATTTTAGTAAATGTGGCTGTAACTCCGGTAAACAAGGGGCCAAGGCTTCAATGAAAACCCTCTAAACCAAGATGTCCGTGTTCAATCAGAAGCTGATCGCATGAGCTGCAGTGTTAACAACGCCACAGTGTTATTTACAAAGAACATATTTTTGTTGAACTTTTGTCGATTTCACTCATGGCCTGCAGGTAGATATCGTATTATTGCACACAGGCTATTAACTAAAACACAGCAGGACTTTTGATGAGGGTTCACAGGTTCTCGAATCACTAAACGGAAAAGTTTAACAGAAAGCCACATTCCTCTTGCACGTTAAGGTCGCCACAACACACTAAAATGAAATAAATCAAATATTATGCTATTACATACTGGGCCTATAATGTAGACACCAAAATCCGATAATACTCCATTCACTGGAAATTGATTTTCAGAAGAAAGTCTGCACTTGTGTGTCGGCGTATCCTTAAAACTTTGGAGAGAGCCAGGCTAGCTCCAGTCTTTATGCTAAGCTAGCTAATCACTGTAACTCCTGCTTAAACCACAAATATGAGAGCAGTATCAAATCTTCTCCTCTCGGAAATAAAGGGATTCTCAAGGACCAGTGTGTTGAATTTGGTGGCATCTAGGTGTGAGGTTGCATTATCTTGGATTTTTTTTTTTCAACCGATGACGATATTAGGCTCGTTCGAGATGAACTGCACCTCGCCTGGAAAGTGGACGAGAGCAGGCAGCAGCAGCAGCAGGAGGGGCGTTGAATGTTTACAATAAGGCGGATCTAGCCTGCATTTTATCAGAGGTGGTGAAGTTAACTTTTTTGTGGACAACAAGCCACACAACGGTGACATGTATGCCTGATCAGAAGTGTTTTCTGTTCATTTTGGTTTTATAGGGCGGGTCGATTTTTTTTTTCTCTTTAAATATTATAACTTTATTCTCATTAAACTGCGACTTTATTCAAGTAATATTACAACTTTTTTCTCTCAAAATCTCACGACTTAATCTTCGACATCTTGAGAAAACAATGTGCAGGAAGTTTTAAACGTGAGCAGAAATCTTGCTGAAACAATATTAAAGTCCAGGGGTTTATAAATCAATAATATCATTGACATGAATAGGTGCCACATGCATATTTAAAAGAAGTTAAAGACACAAAAAGAAAACAGAAGAGAAAATGACGCATACATCTGTGTTGACTCAGCAGAGAGGACAATAAATGAGAATTGGTCTACAGGAGAATAAATATTGGAAAGCAACACAGAATGCCCGTGGGCCTTACTGCATTATATTAAATTATATTTTGAATTCTCTCCTGACTTTTGTTTTCACATTTCCACCATAAATTGGTGGAAAAACTTACATGCTGATGTCCTGACACTCGGGGTATCGCATGTCGGTATAGAATACTCCTTCGAAGAAGAAGAAAGCTGACTTGTAAAGATCCTGAAACAGAAAACATGAAAATAGATACGTTTAATGTAAAGTTCTTATACAGAGAGGTTCAGATATTGCTTGTGATTTCAGATGAACTGTACACATGCTCACTTTGCTGATGAACTCTGGAGCCATGTCCGGCGTGTTGCTGAACTCTCCGCACACTTGCAAGTCGCTGACACAGCAGATGGCATCCCTGAGCTCTGCCAAGCTGTGGGAGCCCGTCATCAGCAGAGTTATGTGGGGTCTGGCAGTGCTAAACTGGGGGAGGGGGGGGGGGAAGGAAAATGTCAGTACCAAGGAGAATAACATTGTCATATTTGGAGGTGAGAGCGGTAAAAGCTCACGTTCTCAAAAGTAACCGAGTAGTAGACGTTGATAGTTAGAATGACTTCCCCTTCAGGCACCATGTCAACCACGGCCTCTGGTTTCCTACCGACAGTTAAACGCTCCTGTAAAACACAGAGAGAGTATATTATATGAAGATGACAGGAAATATCTTGTTTCCTGCAGTGGACCCACCAGTTCATCTGCGTAGAGGTCGTGTCTGTTCTTGCTGACTTTTAGAGAAGCTCTGTAATCTTGTCTTTTTTTTCTTTGTCTGTTAAAAACAAATCACAGAGCACTCCATTATTTTTTTTGTTTTACCTGCTCGTTGGTTTATCCGAAACACAATATAAATAGTGACGGTTGAGGGAGAATCATACTCGAGTGTTCTCAGCGTTGAGTCCGGAGGAACAACTTCTGTGTCCGGCTGCTGATCCTCAGCATGGCAGCGAAGTGAATCGGGACTTGAAAGGAAAAACATGAGAGCGTCATGTAATGAAATACTGCCAAAGGAAGCCTTTAATTAAGGCATTAGTAATAATAATTTAATAATAGTATATCACTATATGACTACACAATAAGCAAGCACAGTGACAGTCGACACACAAACGGTAACTGTCTCATTGCATCCTTCTTCTCTATTTAAGGACCAAAGCTATGGAAGGTCTACCAGCTATATTATTTTTAGTAGACGTACTAAATGGCTAAAAGAGAAACAGCACTGTTCTCACACCTAACACCCCTGTAGACACACCTGTATTTTGTATGTTTGTGTTCGTATTTCAACTTTTTTTTTTTAAGTCCCCTGTGTAGCAGGTGTTGCTAATTGGCGTTTCGCGACAAGCCCTAAACAAAGTGCAGCTGGTCCTTCTTAGTAAGTTACCATTCTAATGCTACCGTGATGTCCACATAAAATAAACACATTACTCTGAAATGGGACATTGTGCATAAATGTGTTTAAATGTTTCAACATTGTGCTTTCGTTTTTGATACTTTTAGTATACGTTGATGTTAACACTGTGGTATTTGTACTTGTAGAGAGACAGGAAAAGGGAAGAGCCGCTGGTCGAAACATTTTCATGAGACACAACACGTGTTCTCTCTTTGTAAACTGTTGCTAAATGTGAGCTAACGAGGCTCACCGTGGAGCTTACGTTGGTGTGACTACCTGCAGATGGACTTGAGGTCGCTCAGGGTCTCCGCACTGATCCTCATCTCCGCAGCGAAGTTGGCGTCAAACGTGTCCTCGTCTTCCTGCTGATAGGAGTAGTTACTCGGCTTCAGTCTGTTCAGCCACTCGTTTCTGAAAGAACCTATGTGAAATATTTTGGTGTTAACGTCAGCGTATTCGTATTCTGGGATGTTTGTGTTCGGGTCTGTCGATGGATCGGGCGCCGCCATTTTTTCCCCGAATGACCAGATTATGAGCGTTGAGGATTATGGGTAATGTAGTTTTTACGAGAAGCAGCATCAGGGCAGTGTGGAGGCTTCAAAAATAAAAACGGCAATTTAAAAAAAAAAGAGAATTGCAATACATTTCCTTTGGCCCTTCTTGTGCTAATTTCACAAAATGCAGTTATATACTCACTCAGAAAAAGAGCAAGTAATTAGAATTAAATATATTGTAGCGACCCTGTACAGTAACACTGATTTTCAAACGCTGTGCCGCGGCACACCAGTGTGCAGTGAGAGATCGCCAGGTGTGCCGTGGGAAAATGTCCAATTTCACTTAATGAGTCCAAAAAAATATTATTTAGTTGTTGCAAATGCTTTGCCATTGTTGAGCGTCTGAGCTGCATTATAATGGCTGGCTAAGTAACAAATACTCTTCCATGCCAGTGGGTGGCAGTAGGTAGCGCAGTAAGTAGGTGGCCGTGTTCATTTAGGACGGTAGAATGAAATGACGCGCGGGAGAGGATGCGGTAACAAGACGGAACAGCGATGGAGACATATTTGAAAAGGAAAAATGCAGACTCTGAACTGGGCCCTGGACAAAATAACCCAGATGAAAAGCCTAGTAAGGATCAACACATTTAGACACTTGTCATTCAATTGTCAGCATATTTTGCTGACAATGGCGGTCCTCGGTACAACGGCCCGCCAGAAAATATCATATGTTTATCATAACTGGCCCGCCCCGCCACACCACAGAGCTCCGGGACGAAAAGTGGCGATGTGAGCTGGCTTTTTGTGCAACATGACGAAGCATCTCACTGCGCTAAACCTCCAGCTTCAGGGACGGGAACGTGTGATCACAGACATGTGTGATGCAGTAAAAGTCTCCACCGCTGTGTTCCCGACTGCGCATTTTGCTGATAAACTGGGCGCACTTGGCACGGAGTTCACTCGGCGATTTACCGACTTTGCACCTCAGAAATTTAAATTTGAACTGCTCAGCAATCCGTTTGCAGTTGACGTGGAAAGAGCACCTGTGGAGCTGATAGACCTCCAGCGTACCGCCTACATGCTTCTCAAATGCTCTGCATGTTTGGAAGCACATACCTGTGTGAGCAGCTTTTCTCTGTGATGAAGATGAACAAAAACCCACACAGGAGTCATCTCACTGATGCACACCTTCACTCCATCGTGAGGGTTTCCACAGAACCTAACTCCAGATATTAATGAACTGGCAGCCAAGAAAAGATGCCAGACATCTGGCTCTGGTAGCCTACATATGCATAAAATAATGTAGCCTACCTGTAAGAGCCAAATTCAGTTTGCTGTTAAATATTCACTTGTATTTACATGTTTAACTTTAATCACATCTGTTTCTACTTTGAATGTTACAAGGATGTTGTTGTAGTTTGTTATAGTAAGAAATACATGTAAGTGACAGACAACTGTCACTTTGCGAAGGTTAGTTACGGTTAGGAGTAATATCTGAAGCAGAGTATGAAGGCAAATCACTGTCAAAATCCGAGAGCGCAAATGAGATCCATGCACGCGCGAAAATCAAACAGCCGCGCGCGTATTTTACTTTGACGAGCGCTTTTACATCACTCCGCGAGCAGAATTCACTCTCGCGTGAGCAAAAGTCGCTCGCGAAGCTTAAACCTGCTCGTTCGCGAGTAGTTTTTCTTTTTGACAGTAAGTGGGCGGACCCAGTCTCCATTGTATCTCTACATCTAATTGGTTACAATCCTCGTCTTGGGATAGACCGGATATCACAGACGCTAGTTCTGATTGAGGTGGTTTCAATCCGCCACTAAACACTACATCTCAAGATGTTCTACATTTGTCTGACAGGTTTTGTAAACTTTTCAGACTGTAGAGGCTGATGAAATACAAATTATGTTAATAGAGTTGTTAAATACAATAATTAAAAATGTGTTAAAGTCAAGTTGCTCAGATTGGTTTAAATTCACTCCATCATTCTATTACAGACAATGTGTGTTTGATACTCAAACCTCTTGTGACAAACAGCTCAAAGAAACTCTTTGATCTTAATTGATTAAAACATGATGTGATCATATTTAATCATCGTGTTGTGTTTACAGAAGAGATATAATAAAGTTGTATATAATATGAGCAACAATTTGGACCTGCTCAAAGATCTGGAGCCAAGATTAGGGACCACTGTATATTAACTGTTAAATCACTGACAAGTAATTAGTGGATGAAAAAGTATTCACATCCTTCACTGCAGTAAACGTACTAATACCATACTGATGAAACAATAATCCACTACGAGTAAAATACCTGCATTCAAAACCTTAGTCAATGTTATCAGCAAAATGTACTTTAAGTGCAGAAAGTAAAAGTACCTGTGCAGTAAAATGTACATTGTTTGCCCCTGACCTGTAGTGCAATCTGAAAATCTCCCCCGAGCGTCTGTGTCAGAGTGATATGCGGTTTATCTAAAGATGAGGATTGTAACCAATTAGATGTAGAGATACAATGGAGACTGGGTCCGCCCACTTACGGTCAAAAAGAAAAACTACTCACAAGCGAGCAGGAAAAAGACTCGCGACTTTTGCTCGCGCGAGAGTCAATGATTATGTACTCAAACGGCTGACTGATAGCTGGAATCGGCTCCAGTGGAGCCAGTTTAGTGACCCGATTTGGCCTACCAGTCATCTGACATATAGTACGGGTTTTAATATGCATAGAAACATCCTTTTTCATTTGTGGCCAGAAGAAATGGCGAAAAACCTGGTCATAGGTTTTCCGGACACCCAAATGTCCTGACCCATCATGAGCAAGTCTTAACACATGACCACGAAGCTTGGCTGGAATGACAACTTGAAAAATGGGATCCCCAACAAAATCCTCACCATGGGGCACCCACTTATTCACCAAAATACCATCCTGAAGAAGGTAGCCCCTGGAAACATGTTTCACCTCACCAACTGACAGCACTGATCCAAACTACTCCTCCAAGGCTGGATCTGCTCTCTGTTCATTATGCAGATCACTACGAGACACAGACAAAGGAAAATCAGGTAAACACGGCAAATTTTTCTCCACGTCTCCATCTACCTCCTTTGATTCAGCACAACTCATCGATCGAGTAACCGCACATGCAGAGAAAACTTTGGGGAAGTTTACAGCACTCTCATCAGGCTGTTCAGAGGCTGAAGGAAAGGGAGTGACTATCGGAGGAGGAGGCACATCTGCCCACACATGACTGCCAGCCAGGTCGTTACCCAAAATGATGTCAATCCCTTCCACTGGTAACGCTGGTCTCACACCAATAGGAACTCTGCCCTGCACCAAGCCACAGTCTAGATTCAGCATATGCACCGGGACAGGCAACACCCTCAACCCCATTCCTCGCATCAGGATTTTATCCCCTGTATCTGCCTCATCTGAAAACGAAAAAATGGAGTCTCGAACATAGGAGTTGACAGCACCCGTATCCCTCAAAATCTTAACAGGCACCTTAATTTCACTACCAGTCTGTGTTACAAACCCTTCTGAGACAAAAGGCCAATAGGACTCATCTGGGCCTCCAACCACGCCAGATTCTGCATGCCCGCCATGCCACACTCCCACAGGACCAGAAACACTTACAACCAGTGCAGCAGGTTTTAGCCGCCCACCTCCAGCCTGCTGCCTCCTATCCCCAAGTATAGGACATTCCTGTTTCCAGTGGCCTGCCTCACGGCAGCAATTGCACGTATTTTCTCCCATTTCAGGCGCTCCGTGAGGTGCCCAACCTGGAAAACCCCCGAAGCAACCAGATGATTTAACACCTCCATCATCCTCCCACACAGGCTCACCGAGCCAGCTTTTATGAATAAGCGCATACTCATCAGCCAATCCCGCAGCCTGGGCGGCAGTTGTAACCTTATGCTCAGTAAGATATGTGGCAACACGGCTGGGCAGAGAGTTCTTAAACTGCTCCAAGACGACCAAATTACACAAACTTTCAAAATCAATAACATCAGAAGATGTACACCAACGATTGAAATTATTTGTCAGCTCCCTCGCAAACTCCATATGAGACTGGTTGAACCTTTTTTCCAACATCATAAAACGCTGTCGATATGCTTCAGGAACCAACTCATATGCCTTCAGTACAGCATTCTTGACTGATTTATAAGTTGTATCATTATCTAAAGGAGTTCTCGCACCAGTGGTGTTGCCAGCAAAGAAAATCCTTCAGGAACTGAGTCGGATGAAAATGGGCTGGGATGACGACTTACCAGAAAAGGTCAAACAACAGTGGACAGATTGGTTGACAAAACTTCCCAATCTAAAGGACTTCAAAGTCAACCGGTGCATCAAGCCACCAGCATTTGGAAATCCTACATACGCACAGTTGCACCACTTTGCGGATGCAAGTGAGGAAGCTTACGGGACGGCTAGCTACTTACTGTTGTGGAACCAGAGAAATCAAGTTCACTGCACATTCATGATGGGGAAGGCCAGAGTGGCTCCTTTAAAGCAACCTGCCATCCCACGGATAGAGCTGACGGCAGCAACAGTCGCTGTGAAAATGAACAAGCTGGGGAGAAAAGAGCTACAGTCGGAGGTATCCAATTCTGTATGTTGGAGCAGGGAATACTCGCCACAGCTCCAGGAACGGCAAAGATGGTCAAGAGCATCGAGAAACTTCACTCTGGGAGACATCGTTCTTCTAGTGGATGACTCTGCTCCAAGAAACTCTTGGGTCATGGGGAAGGTCATTAAGGCACTTCCAGACCACAAAGGACTTGTTCATCAGGTCTGCATAAAGACAAAGACTAGTGTTTTACACAGGCCCATTACAAAGCTGTGTCTGCTTTTGGAAGACGAACAGTGCTAAAGACTGAGCAACAGTGTAGGAGTCTGTTATCTGCCTCCGGCTCTTATATCGTTATTTTGTGAGAATGTTCCTTTACAGTACATGGCTCTCTTAATTTAAGTTAGGTAATTGTTTCAAATGTTAAATCTTGAGAACAATTAGGGGCCGGTGTGTAAGAGCCAAATTCAGTTTGCTGTTAAATATTCACTTGTATTTACATGTTTAACTTTAATCACATCTGTTTCAACTTTGAATGTTACAAGGATGTTGTTATAATTTGTTATAGTAAGAAATCCATGTAAGTGACAGACTACTGTCACTTTAAGGACACTTTGCGATAGTTAGTTATACGGTTAGGAGTAATACCTGAAGCAGAGTGGAGCCGCACAGTTTTCCGACCGTGTTATGAAACATGTTATGGACCGTGTTATGAAACGTGTTGTGGACCGCGTTATGAAACGTGTTGTGGACCGTGTTATGAAATGTGTTGTGAAACGTGTTATGAAAGGTGTTATATGAAACGTGCTATGTGGATTAACCTGTGGATCATTAAAGTGTGTCGAGGTAATCAGAGTACTTTTAGGAATAAAGGAAGTCGTTTCACTAACTTGTACGAAGGAAATTGGATCAATAAAAACACGTATTGCTTTCATCTACGAGCGGTGTCGGTGTGAGCTATGTGCTAAGGACCAGAAACTCGCGTCAACTTAAGGTTTACATTGTGCTAAAGATTTGGACGCTACACTACCTAAACATGTATTCTTTTTGCACTTTGTCCAATATCCCTTCCATCCTGTTTATTAAATGGTGACTCTATTTGGCCCTCAACGTAGTCACAATTTCTTATTTTGGCCCTCTCTGTGATTGAGTTTGATACCCCTGGCATATATGCTATATTATGCTAAAAGGTGTAATTTTGTAACTTTTTTGGTTGTTGGTTGCAGGCTGTCACTTCCCTCTCTCTGGCCAATCACGGGACGCACTGTACACGTTGGTCAAGGTGCGTGCCTGTGATTGGTAGAGCAGAGGGGAGGAGGGACTTGTTCTGTGTTGGGAGCTAGTCAAATTTGTTAAACCGCAACCAACAAAGAAGAGAGTTGTTGAGACCTGTAAAAAGACCGTTGATGTTCACTGGAGTTGCTGGCACTATTGTTGAAGGTTTGTGTAAATAAACCTCTTGCAAGGACTTCACTCTGTCTCCGAATCGTAAGTGGAACATTACAATATTATAATATGACTTTAAAGTCACACAATAACCACATGCACATCATATTAATTGTTTGAGTGATGTAAATATTTTCAATTTGCTGGTGAAAGCTTTTTACAACTCATTCAGATCCTTTTCATGACATTCAATAATAGTAATAGCATCATAAAGAAGCTTCATAGACACTTGAGAGTGCAGAGCAGCTACGGAAACAACCAAACCACCGGAATTAAAGAGTTAGACAGGGACATTACATGCATGCAAGTAACCAGAAATGTTAACCAAATCTATGTAAAACATGCCTTGTGCTGTCAGAATGAAGTTAACCCAGTATGCACTGGACATGGAGCAGAGCAAGGAATTTATCCCAGAAGGCATCTGGTAATTTGTGATGGTAACGCCTTTCCTCTGCCTCTGCTCTCGGTTGTTCCTCCAAATGGAAGTAACTACATTTAGTGATGAACTTAAGTACATTTATTTGTCTTAAGTACAATTTTGACAAACTTACTTGATTATTTCCATTTACTGATTACTTTATTATACTACTTCACTTCGCTTTAAAGGAAAATATTGTACCTTCACACCAGTACATTTATCTGACAGCGGAAATTAGTTACTGTTCAGATTAATTAAGATCTTTCTTACAAGTATAAGGAGCTAATAAAATACAACGAATGAATGAATGAATGACCACGCACACACAAATGCTGTGAATTGGGACCCACAGTTACATTTTTGACATGAAATATAACAAAGTGAGATTTCCTCTAAACTTTTGAAATGGCTTTATTTTAAGTCCGAAGAGGTACAATTATCAGTTATTTCACACTGAAAAGAAAAAAGTCTGCAAAATGACTTCACATTTGTGCAGCAGAACATGTTTTTTAAATAAATGATTTATCTCTCGACCCAGCAGATTTATTGTGTAACTTTTGCCTTAATACATGTCTGACTACTTAATCCACCGCTAGTCCATCAGGTAACACCTTTGTTCTGCGCACCTTTCTCGAGTCGTCAGTGCAGCTGCATTGACATGTTTTACACATTGTTGCATAAAAACAGACAGCGAGCTCATCTCGTTGTCTCAAATGTGCGCTCTTTGGTTTCTTATGTGCACCAGTTCGTTTGATCATTGATCTAGAGTATCTGATCAAATCTGGATAAAAATAGTTGTTATTATTAAGATCGTAAAGATAGTGTCAACTTCCGACAGATTTGTGGGCTGGCCTTGCAAATCTAGGCCACTCCACACCCTATAAATATCCCAGGAGGCCAAATTATCGCTTTGTGTGCAAGTGAAGAGGGGGCTTTCACCGCAGAGGGAAAAAAGACACCCGACGTAACTTCTTCTTATCTGACTTAAGTTCCAGCATCAAATGGAGATGGAAAAACACGATTCACTGCAACAGGTAGATAACATTGCTGTCTATGTTTAATGACCGAATTTGACCAGAGTTTTTTTACTTTAATTTATTCGTTAATTCTAAAACTGTTTTGTCTCTTCGGTTTGATTTTATCAGTCAAGACAGGAGGGGAGGAGGGAAGTTGAGTTGTCGAAAGTTGTTTTTCCTTTAATGCATCATGTTCAAAGGGTCTGAGGGGAGCATGTTGACTGACGTATCACATTTTACTGTAACAAATAAACGCCAAATGGCCTGTTAGGGTAGATTAAACGTCTCTCTCATCACACTGTTTTCAACTTAAAAATGGATTTAAAATTTGAATTTTCTTTTTTTCAGATGGACCTGAACCAAATCAGTGAGGATTCAATGTAAGTGAAATTATACTTTTATTTTATAGGTTTTACAGGAGTGTGTGCATGTTTTTCAAAGATTGGCACATGTTGAAAATAATTATCCCATAGAAAATATAATTTATCCTTGCAAATGGGTTTGCTATTTAATTAAATCTATTTGTTGTAATGCCCAACTCACAACCATTAGAGGTCACTATATATCTTATATCGTAACTTAGTGATACTTTATCATTTATTCATTCTTCAAACTGTGCATACATATACTTTAAACCCCTTTGTTCCACACACTCAAATTGCCAACATGCTATACATTTCGCATCTTATCTCGCAAGACCAAAGTGCCACTTGTCTGGGCTGCCAGATACTTATGCAAGACTTGTTTTCAGATGTATGTCTGTTGAGATGTAGAAGCCTAAATTAATTTGTCATTCTTTCATTTAGATCCCCTGAAATGGATTTGGAGGCCGCACTGACAGAATGCTCCGATGCCCTCAACCTTTTCCTGAACAACAGGTTTTCTGATGCTTTGGCTGTCTTAAAACCTCGGTTAGTCACTGACTCTTAAACTAGTCTCCAGCTGACTCTGCATCTTTGTGGACAGCTGTTTCACACTGCTGGTTGTACGATAACATTTAGTTATAGGCATTTGATTACTTTTAAAAATATTCTAATTTCACACTTACAATATGCAGGGTTCTTTTTTTAATAATCATTGCATTTGTCCCCTTCAGGAAGAGTCAGAGCATGTACCACGCAATGGGCTACAGCAGCATTTTGGTGATGCAGGCAGGCATGACCTTTGACCCAAAGGACATGAATGCTGCCATGGCGTCACTGGGTGAATCCCTGCAGACGTGCCAAAGGTACGGCTGAACACTTTCATAAAAGTTTAGGATTTAAGTTCAACGGTGTGTACAAAATGTGGTGCATTTCTGAGTTAAAAAAAAATGAGCCGTAGAGGAAAGAATTCATTCATCACCTTGTCTTAAAAGCGTTGAGACACAGTCCGGATTAATTTGTCACCATACTGTGTATTCCTTAACTTAGATTTCGGAAGAAAACTGGAATAGTGGAGACTTTAACCAGCCTGTGGAATAGGCAACCAGCTGACAACCTGACAGAAGGTGAGTGATACGCTTACAGACTCATTGGATCTGTGATTAGGAGGTGAAATGAGCCATGTTTAAGTACTCTTTTAGTGTTTTTATTAGAAATAGAGAAAATGTAATTGTATACAGAAGGTGAACATGGGGTGTGGAGGGTGATTGCATCAGTAGCGGGTGTGGGGGAAATTTAAAACGTGGAGGATGTGGAGTTTAGAGACAGTGAGAATCTAAACATTTAAGAAGGATAACAATCCCTCCCTGACTGCAGGAGAAGACAAGTTAGTGCAGTGCAGACAGAAAGGGAGGACAGTTTAGTGCAGTTTATAAACAAAATGACAATGTGTATTGTGTTTTTAACATTTTTGCAGGTCTGGAAAGTTGTTTTCACCCATCATGTGACATTTGATTCTTGTTAACAGAGGAGATGCATGCAGAGCTGTGCTATGCTGAAGTTCTGCTGCAGAAAGCAGCTCTCACCTTTCTGGATGAGACTATACTCGGCTTCATCAAAGGAGGGATGAGAATCCGAAACAGTTATCAGATTTTCAAGTAAGAAGCTTGAATGGGGGGGTTGTTGGGGGCATAATGCCATAACCAGACATTGAGAAAAAGAAAATAATGTACATCATCATATTTGAGTATGTTTTTAAATGATATTTTGTCTCCCAAACCAGGGATTGCCAGGCCTTGGCCAGTGTCACAAACGACATGGAAAAACAGAAGAGCACCCACATACATTTTAGGGGCGGTGTCAGCATGGGCATTGGATCATTTAATCTGGTGAGTCATGCAGTAGAACAAAGTGTTTTTGCCACATTATATAGCTACATTTTTGCTAAACGAACAAAGTATTGTTAAGTTGTATCAAGCCTAATCAACATTGAACCTACTTTTTTGGTAGATGTTGTCTCTGCTCCCATCCAAAGTCCTCAGACTGATGGAGTTTTTGGGCTTCTCAGGAGACCGGGTAGGTACCCTCAGTCCTTTCTTTTTTGCTTTTTTTTTCTCCAACTAAATATACAGATAGTGTCATTTGCCAATTTTCTTACAGGAAATGGGTTTGTCAGAGTTAAGGGACGGAGCAGCCGGCAACAGCCTGCGCTCCATCCTCAGCACCCTGACACTGCTGATGTTTCATCTCTACATTACTGTGATTCTGGGTAATTTTCTTCCAGGAATAAGCTGCATTCTGTCATTATATTATGATTTGTGATGGTCAGAAAGTTGTTATTCTGCTCATGTTCTTTCCCCAGGTACTGGTGAAGCAAACCTTACTGAGGCTGAGGCCCTGCTGGAGCCCTACATTGAAAAGTTCCCCAATGTGAGCAGTGATTATTGCTGATTGTAACTCACGGCAGATGTCACTACTGTCATTCAGTGAAATGGCATCATTTTGAATTAATGTGTCTGTGTGTCGTCCACAGGGAGCTCTCATTCTTTTCTACACTGCAAGGATTGCTTTGCTCAAAGGAAACTTCACTTTTGTGAGTACTGGTAATAACTGGTCTAACAGTTAAATGCAGCTCATGTTGTTGTTGTTGTTGTTGTTGTTGTTGTTGTTGAAGAAAACTGAAAGCCCATGTGTCTGGGGTTTTCTGCAGGCCCAGGAAAAGTTCCTGGCGTGTATTGCAGCACAGGAAGAGTGGTGTCAGATTCACCACCTGTGTTACTGGGAGCTGATGTGGGCTTACTCATTCGAACAAAACTGGAGGGAGGCGTATCGATACGCTGACCTGCTCTGCAAAGAGAGCAAGTGGTCCCAGGTGACGAATACAACTTATTCTCCCTTTTGACCCGGTGCTAAACTGCTCATGTATTGACATTGTTTTTATCTCTTGCTATAAGCTGATTGCTCTTCTCTTGCAGGCCACCTATACATTCCAGAAAGCTGCCATCTTGAGCATGCTACCAGAGGAAGAAGTGACTGAACTGCAAGAAAATGTGATCGTGTTATTCAGGTGTGTGATAGACGACCATCATTTCTGTATAGGATTCTGTTATAAGTTCTGTAATAGTCAGTGAGACATGGTTTTGTTTGTAGGCAGGTGGAGGGTCTCAGACTGAGGATTGCTGGGAAGTCGATCCCAACAGAGAAGTTTGCAGCAAGCAAAGCACGCCGATACTCTTCTTCTGCGCCTGTGAAACTAGTCGTGCCTGCTTTGGTGAGGATGCATGTGCACTCCTACTTTCAGTGACTTAAAACTAAAACTGAGAACTGGATTGACGACGCGTCTTTTCCCACAGGAAATGATGTACGTGTGGAATGGTTTCACAGTGGTGGGCAAAAGACCAGAGTTGACTAAAAGCATCTTGACCACCTTAGAGAAAGCAGAGGAGCAGCTCAGAGATGATCCAAGTGAGGGGAACGGCAGAACTTTAAAACACATTAACTAATCGATTTCAACGGGACACTAATAGCATTTTATCTCATGTGTAGACCCATCAGTGTATCACCTGGATGACCAGTGTGTTGTTCAGCTGCTGAAGGGCCTGTGTCTAAGACAGCTGGGGCACCTGGTCCAGGCTGAGCTCTGCTTCAATAAAGTCATTTCCAGGTGAGGCCATTGCAACACACACAGGAAATATAGGTTGGAAAATAAACTGAAATATAGTCACAAATCACACACACAACACACTGATCACTGGTCAATTGTGTTACTGTTTTGTCTCTTAATGACACTTGCTGATTCTCATTTGCTTCACTTTCAATAGACTGTGTTAATGGCACATTTTTTTTGTCCATTTCACTTCATGAAAGGAGTTTTATTAATCTTCCTTTACTGTCCCCTGGCTTCAGTTTGCGTCTGAACAGACTCCCTAAAGATGTTTATGTAAATCCTACATACGTAAAGTCTTGTCAGGATGTATTTCAGTTACATGATTTGAATTGCATTAGCTGTATTTTGTATTTATCCATATATACCTTGTCTTGAAGAACATGATGCATAAAATATTTGACCTCTGTGTGGTGTTGAGACTCCACAACTCAAATTTGGCCACTGTTGAATAGACCCACTGAACTGACTTTGATTTTATAAAAACATTTCGGGCAGTGAAAAGGATATCGCTTTCGACAACTACCTGGTGCCATTCACCATGTATGAGCTCGGCCTGTTGCACAAGCAGAAAGGTGACATCAACACAGCCATCACAATGATGGAAAATGTCAAGTAAGTGTTTTTAACTCCTCCACTATCATGGGTTACAGTTAGTTCTGCATGTGCATTTATAAAAACGCATCTGGATGTTGTTTTCTCTTAATGTCAGAATGGCAATTCCCAAAATGCCTTGACGAAATATGTCTGCCCAATAAAGTGACATTCCATACTGCCATATTATACAAAAAAAGCTTATAAGTGATCTTATTTGCAGGATTAACTACAAAGACTACAACATGGAGTCGAGGCTACACTTCCGCATCCACGCAGCACTCAACACCATGGGCTCTTTCTCAACCAAACTTCCCCCTTCACGCACGGCAGCTTAAGAGACTCCACGAAAAACATAGACCAACACGTCTGACTCAAAGTCTCGACCCTGTGTGTTGCCCTCAGCTCTGTCACTTGAAATCCTCTAGATGGGCATCTTACTGTCAGCTCCTTTTTAAAAATGGTACTGTGTTCAGTCTTTTTTTTTCTGTGCAGTATGAATAAGTCTGCTGTAAAGTTATCTAAATAAAAATTATGAATTCAATGATGTCCTATATTTAATGCTGGCACAAAATGTAAGGTACATAACAAATGTTGATAAATTTGATCACTGAACTCTGAATAAATACATTACCAAATACAAACTTCACTGTGTGCGTGTGTATACGGCGAAATGTGCTGGTAACTATCCTTTCTTGTTTTTATGGAAACTGCATGTTAGGTTAAATATGGAGAATGGTCTAATATTTGCCACAGCACCCTGGAAAATGATGTCATTCTGATCACCTCTACTGTATTTTGAGTGATGGACATCTTTTATATGATTTTCGTCCTGCCCAGTGTCCATCACTGTATCGGCTTGCTAGTGAGAATATTTAAGTACATCAGGCATATATGCAGTGGTTGGCTGCTGTGGAGGTTTTGCCAGTTCCACTGGTTAGTTCATAGTACTTTAGATTTTGAGTACATTTAACTTTTACTTCTGTGTGTTTACTTCAGGATTTTTGAATGAATAACTTAAATTTAATAATTTAAGACTTTAATTATTTGGCCTTTGGAGATATTGGCCATTTAAAATATTTAAAAAATGTGTTAATTTGTGATTGTTACATTACCTCTTATAATATTCCTGTCTCTTGCATAATCATGAAAAAAAGTATACATTTGAGAATGTTCCGGGTCAGGTCAGTAACAAAAAATCTGTTACTATCATACCAATTTTGATTCAACAAGTGTTTTCCTATTAATTGTAATAGTTCTGTTGTTCCACAAGGTGGAGCCATGCGGAGTCAAATTATGGGTCAACATCATCTTCCAGCATTACAGTACTTCTCTATGAAATTCTGACATCTACAAAGACAATTTTGTAATTTCAAAATTACATTTTAGCAAAATTCCAAACCTACAATAAAAAAAAAAAATGTTTGAGGATGTGAAACTATATTTAAAAAATAGGTTTTTAACACTTCTGCCATTTATTAAAATGTTTTAATACTCCATTACATTCTTTGACCAGTTATTAAGATAATGTGGCATGTATAACATTACATCTGGACTCTGCTGTCAGTGCTGGGCACCACGTGGTGAGTGAGACGATCAGCTGACTCGGTCGGAGGAGGAAGAGGGATGAAGATGGAAGGGAACAGAGACGAAGCTGAAAAATGTATAAACATAGCGACGAAAGCCCTCACAGCCGGAGATAGAGAGAAAGCGTCCAAGTATCTGCACAAAGCAGAGAAGCTGTATCCGACGGACAGAGCCAAAGGTAGGGCTGCTGGTGACTGACCGGTCAAAGGCTAACCTAGCGAAGGAACAACTACACTGACAACCACCAAGTGTTAGCTAGCATAGCTGACGTTTGTTAACGTCTGAAGCTCACAACAACACACTATTTGTACTATTGTTCAACGCGTGTTTGCATGATTAGTCAACGTTAGTCAAGAATAAACGGTTTATTTAAAACGGGACTTAAAGTAACACATATCCGAGTTAGCGTTATCTAACGAAGTTGTGGGCCTAGCATTGTGTTAGCTGAACTAGCCACCGCTTCGCTACAGCGGACCTCTCAGTTAATGTGGATTATATATGGTGACGGTACGTGGATAGGTGTTAGCCTGTAACGTTAGCAGCTATCAGTGGAGCAATGGTAGCGAGTCGTGTAACATCGATCCACGATCAAGCCGTGGTTGGCTCAGTGGTTGAACGTTAATGCTAGCTGTCATTCATTGCAACATCTTGAAGACTAGCTGACCTTTAGACCATTTGTGTTAGCTGTCATTTCACATTCACTTCAAGTGAATAGACGCTGGCCTAACCTACGTTAATTAACCTCACGGTATTATTGCTGTGTGCGTAAAGGCCGTGGGTTCGTTTGCATGTCGATGAACAAGCAAGTGGAGACTGGAGAGGGAGGATGTAGTCACGGCTACGACTGCAGGCTGGCCAGCCCGACTGCCAATCCTTTAATTGAATGATTGAGTCTAGGCTCATCCGGGACACACACCTGTCTGTAAGAGGAAACAGGTGTTGGGCTAAGTCAGGATGGGGCTGACAGAAGTCTACGTTAGCTCTAAAAAGGCTCTTCTATATGCAGTATTGTGAGTGACTGGAACAGGGTATAGATCAACTTTGACGTTGATGACCAGGAGCTTCTCAGTTGTTAAATTGTAACTTGGTCAGTTAAAAGTAACGTTCATGTCTTTGTTTGCACATTGATGTGCCTGCACCGTCAGGTTAAAGTGTGTGTGTGTGTGTGTGTGTTTTAAAGCAGAATGTATAATGACAAGGCTTTAGAAAATGTGCCAAAGATGATGTGGAAGGAGCTGAAATATATATTCTATAGGAAAGGTATATGTGTAAGGGGACTGTGGGGGTTCTCTAAAGTTCACAATCCTGATCGCTTGGGGGAAGAAGCTCTTTCTGTGTCTTTGGTGTGAGTGGTCAGGAAGTGTGTTGCCTAATGTTGCAATCCAGGGCATCCCACATAAAGGGTTGACAGAAGGGCAGACCAAGACGGCACCTGTACACCAGCATTCCTCACGTGGAGGGGGGGGCGGGGGTTGTACCCGTATCCCAGTCATGTTCATATTTGTCCCCTGCTGTCTTTGAGTTATCTGGCCATCAGTAGGCTGGTTATCAACTGGCTCCGTGAACCCAGCATGTGAAGGTTTTCACATTAAAGAGGGACGGTTGTAACGCTGTCAATATAAAAACATATCACAATATGGCACCAGGAGGAGTGTATTTGGTCAAATGAATATTGATCGATGTGGGCAAATAAGGTTGTTGCCGCTGCAAAACCATACGAGTCAGCATGACCAAAGCATGCTGAGTAATATGCAAAGAAATACAGTAAATATGACTTTGTCTTTGTCAACATGTGAAGTAGTCTAGCTATGGGAAGGGGATCATGGTTGTGTGCTTGTTCTGTTAGATGTGACTGCATAATGATTAATTAACAATAAGGACCATTAGAACATGTTAAAAGTATTTGAGAGAGAGAGAGAGAGAGAGAGAAAGAGACATGATTGAGCTGCTCTACTGTTGCTCTACTGTCTTTGAGAATGTGTTTTTGTATCACTGACCATATTATCTTCATGGATGGCAAACTTGACCCTTAAGTGCCTTTCACTCAGGACGTGGTTTGCGCTGCGCTCAGCGCTCACACTTTGCTCAATGCAGCAAAACAAGCCGCTGTGGAGCTGCGCAAACCATTGGAAATAATGGCTTTCAGATTGCAGTGGCGCCGTCGTCGCTTTCTGTGTGAAAGGCCCAACGACTGAAAGGACACTGCAAAATGTGTGAATATAAAGGCTGAAACAGAAGAACAGTGGAATTAAGCTCCTTATGAAACACTGAATAAAATACAGCATTCTTTATGAATTGGAAGTCTCATCACTGCCTGCCATTACGGCACAGTGGGCATATTTTGTATTAATACAATCGTCATCTTAATCTGGTTATAAATGAGCTGCTGACAGTGTAATGCCAGGTTTCATATATAGCATGTTGCAACACATGCTGATAATGCACACTCCTGTCTCTATAACACATACCATAGTGCTAATTAAATGAGAAACCATCTTCATGCCCTTTTGTTCACTGCACCCCAATAGGTGGCTGGAACTGGTCCACAATGTTGACTTTAACATGACTCTTCCTCTTGGTTTTGATGTACTTGCAAGTTATGTATTCTCCATCCATGTACTTGAAAAGCGTCTTCATTCGGTGACTGAAGCCAGTGCCTCCTTGTACTGTCCCTTCCTGAAGAGGTGCCTTTTCTTTCACTGACTAATCTTTAAAGTAAGACCTATTGAAAGGTCTGATTGGGCATCTGACAGAATGCTGTATTTTTAACTACTTGAGCTACTTGAACATTTTTCAACTGTAAGTAACTGTAGTACTTTGTGATTTTGTGTGTAAAGCTGTGCAGTGTATATATGTGACATAATTTACAGTGTTGTATCAAAGTTGTCTTGAATCTTGACACCAAATCGGAAATGCTTGGAGACTCGTAAGATACCGACGGGAATAATTTGTCATTTAATAATCTTAAGCCTCTTCTGGTCTTCTTTAGCTTTGTTGGACGCATTAACAAAGAATGGGAGCTCAGCGGGTAACGGTGCATATCGTAGGAGACCAGGAGAAGGCACCGGTGCACAGCCAGGCGGGGAAGGCCAAGAGTCTGGAGGAGGCGAATCTTCTAAAGGATTCAACAAAGAGCAGGTGGAAGGTGTGCAAAGGTGAGAACTGAAGGATTCACTGGCTCTTTTCTTTCATGCTGTGTTTCTGTGCACACTAAGTGGTACTGCAATCCGTCCTACATGTGGCCCAGTGACGGCAGCACTGTTTCCATCATACTTGATTAGCCCTTTCATCTGTGGCTGCAGGAGGACACTGTAGTCTCTCACTGCAGTGTTGTGCACACACGGCTAATTGTCATGGGAACCTCGTCGGCTCGGTGTCTCGCACATGAGGGAAAGTGAGAGACGTTTAGCGGTGTGAGCCGACTCCAGGTAACCGCTAACGGTCTATCGTTTTAGACCACGAGGACTACAGAGACCCTATGGCCTCAATCGTATCTTAGAAAGTTGCAAATAGCTACTTGAGTGCATTTAGAGGATAAACATGCTGCTTGTCATTATGTAATCCTGCCAGTGTATTGTAAGCATATGTAAGCATTCTATTCCCTCGTGTTTTTTAGACAAAATCCTTTGGGGAAGCTTCAGTGGGTTAAAAATTGCATCATGTCTTCTAAGAAAAATAACACCAGTTTACTTTAAAAATGTCTCCCATGTGACCTCATTAGTGATCCTAATCCAGCCATGATAACTTAATATTATCGACTTATATCGTGATTATGTGAGCATATCATTAACATTCTGTTTTACAGCAGATTGTAATCATAAACTAACAAAATGACTTATTGTCTTTAATTTTTTTTTTACACATGTTGTAAAGAGTTATGTCTGATGTATAACAGTGGAATAATTGAACATCAGTTTAATTATTTAATTCTCTTTTAAGCTTGAGGACAAAGAACATTTTCCTCATCTGTCAGAACAGATCCACTGAATTGTTTTCAGCTGCTCCACTTTGTGTCCCTCTCCTCCAGAATCAAGCGGTGTAAGGACTACTATGAAGTGCTGGGTGTCAGTAAAGAAGTCAACGAGGACGAGCTGAAGAAAGCCTACAGGAAACTAGCACTCAAGTTCCATCCAGACAAAAACCACGCACCTGGAGCAACAGAGGCCTTTAAAAGTACATCATTACTATTTACTGATCTTAGAAAAACACAGTTTGAAAAAATGTACGTCCATAATTTCTTCCCCTGCTTGATACATCATTTGGGTCCTCCTCCAGAGATCGGTAATTCATACGCAGTGCTGAGCAACCCAGACAAAAGACGGCAGTATGACCTGACGGGAGGAGAGGAGCCAAGCAGCTCGGGTCACTCGCATGGAGGAGGAGGAGGCTTTGACTTCCACAGGGGCTTCGAGGCCGACATCACTCCTGAGGACCTCTTCAACATGTTCTTTGGAGGTGGCTTCCCTTCCTGTAAGTGAGCCGATGCAATTTATTCCTTTCATTAATGTAGAACAGCATGAACATATGGTTTTGAATACTGATCTTTGTGTGCAGGTGTAATTGGTGACATGGTCCATATTCTTTCTACCCGACCTCAGTCATAATGTTTTTTGTCTACAGCAGCTGCACACACCTTCACCAACAGCAGAACAAGCTATAGCCAACAGACGGACAACCGGCAAGAGAGAACAGAAGAAAGGAACGATGTATGTACATGGGTTCAGATTTTCTCCCTTTTTATATTAAAAAATAAGTGTATTAAACATTTTATGTACGTTTATAATTTGAAATAATGTGCACCAATAGAAACTGTATGCTGTCCCAGTACATTAGTGTGTGTTGTTGAGGACTCATTGAACTGTGTTTGCCTCCAGGGTGGTTTCTCAATGTTTATCCAGCTGATGCCCATCGTGGTCCTGATTTTAGTGTCAATACTGAGCCAGATGATGGTTTCCCCTCCACCCTACAGCCTCTACTCTAGACCGTACGTGTACACACGCACAAACATTTTCTGTTTTTCACCGCTGAGGCAAACTTGCTTGTTGCTTGCAATTATAGGCCGCTAATAACAACCTTATGTCACATTCACTTCCCATCAGTAGTACAGATGACAACATGTAATATCATAACATTTGACAACTGGAAAGTATCCACCTTTATGACTTTTTTTTAACATGTGCTATGAAAGGTTGACACAAGCGGCTCATCCTGGTGTCGCAGTAAACCTGGTTCCTATAAAACACCTTCAGGCTGCAACATATGTGGGGAACAAAATGCATTTCAGTATTTTTCACAACAACTTGCATCTCCTCCAGGTCCACGGGTCAGACGGTAAAACGGCAGACAGAAAACCTGCACGTCGACTACTACGTCGCTCGAGATTTCAGGTCGGAGTTTAAGGGCTCGGCGCTGCACCAGATTGAGAAAAGCGTGGAGGACGATTATGTATCTAATGTCAGAAATAACTGTTGGAAGGAGAGACAGACAAGTGAGTAACCAATGCACCCTCAGAACTAGCTTACTGAATTCAATAGTAGTTTCTGCTTTGCACTATTTTTGTTTCTCACGTTGGTTTTTTCTGCGTGTCTCATCCAGAAACAGACCTGCTGTACGCTGCTAAGGTCTACAGGGACGACAGAATGCGCAAGAAGGCAGAACTTATGACCATGGACAACTGCAGGGAGCTGGACAGACTAAACAACCTATTCAGAGGAGGTTGAGATGAATGCTTTTAGATCGTGTACATGTAAATTAATAGATGTGTATGTTCATGTTTTTTTAAGAAAGAGTCTTTACACTAGAAGCAAAAACTTACTGAAATGATTTAGCTCTATTGTTGAAGTTTTGAAATGTCCCTCTCCTTGTAACCCCCCCCTCCCCCCCCACACACACACACACACACACACCACCTTCCTCACTCCAGCCTGACCCCAGGAACCGCCTTGTTACCAATCTACACACACTGTAGAAAGCCCCAGAACTGTTTTTTCTTCTCTTTTTTTTTTTTTTACTCTGCTTTTCTCGTAATTTCCTGGAAACAAGATGGGCAAGGACACTTGATTGTAAAGGCATGTGCTTTGAGTAGTGAGAACCCCAAAAAAATCACGGTTTTAAGATCAACAAACGGCTTTTGGCATCATCTGCTTGACATAAATATAATCTGAGAGACTTTTTAGGTTTGTTTGGAGGTGCTTGTCCTCCAGCCAAATTCATTTTCGTGAAGAACAAATGAAGAAAAGAAAATAACGCAGTGCTACTTCTAGCTTCCCACTCACCCCCGGGTGTGGATGGAGGTCAATGGATCCCGAGGAGATTTCCTGTGATTTTGCTACTAGAGAACATTTTATGTCGTCATCTTCAAAATGTGAAGTGGGTTTGGACTAAACTTGGAAGGACATTGAAACTGTTATTCATAAATGGTTGTACATTTTCATTTTTGAATGTTTGAAATTTATGCAGTTATTTAAGAAACTATGGAAGAAAGTGATTTTCTTCAATGCTCGCCTAATCATTTAAATAAAGTAAAATTATTACCATTGACTGGATGTATATGTGTCTCTGATTCAAATGCCAAAGGGTCAATTCCCCAAAAGTTAAAAAAATAAAATAAATGGACACTTTCTCACTTACAGTTTTATTTGCCAAAGTTTAGTCAGTTGTGACCTTTCTGCTTCTACAGTGGAGGTGAATCGAAAATGTGAAACAGACTATTTATTTTGTACAGTCTTGAGTAACGAGACATCGGTGACATGTCGCACAGTGATGGAATGTAACACAAGTACATTTACACAAGTGTCATTTTGTGATTATAGAGAATATACTGGAGACCTCCGCATGTGTGTCCCTTGTAATACACTTCTATAGTCTTGTGAAAGACCCAACACGAGAGAAATGTATTAAGACATGTACTAATCCCAAAACATTAACTCATAAAACAATGGAATTTACATTGACAAGAGATATGGGCTAGTTTGAAAATGCATTTCAGAGCATACACACATAATCGCATAAGAGAAGTGTTTCACTCTTGATGAATGTACAGAACTTAACAGAAAATGTATGTGGACCCACATATCTAGTCTACACGGGCGACTTTAATGGAGCATTTGCTCCTTGAGTCAGCTGTTACATTTCAATTTCAGCAGTAGGCCCATAAATATAATTATTAGACTGACTTTAAAAAAAATAAATGTATCTGCATGCATATGCTGCACGTGCTGTGGATACCGAGGTGTGCTACGTGGAACTGAGTAAACTACTGATTTCGCAGTTCTGACTATTAGAATCGTTAATACCGCTAAACGTGACGTGGCGACTTGCGACATCATCGCCATTGGTTTATCAGTCGTCACGTGACAGCGTCAAACCCGGAAACGACATTCACAGCTGCGGCAGGTGGGCTCTTTACCTGCTAGGTGCAAGTTAAGAAACTCAAACAACCAGAAGTGAAACTTGAGATGTTACCAAGACAACATTTTGAGGAATAAACCAGCCTTAAATCAAACCTATGCGCCGGGAAACGCTGGTTTCTGGCTCGGACGTTACGTGGACGATGCACTACCACAGCTACATCTGTGTGTTTCTCTTGAGTTTGTACCATTGTGGATGTCTCACAGGTGTGTCCGCGTGCAATCAAGAGCCAGAGACTCCAGACTGGAGGATGACTCTGAAAACAATCCGTAACGGAATACACAAGATTGACACGTACCTGAATGCAGCACTGGATTTGTTTGGTGGCGATGACGGGTTGTGTCATTATAAGTGTACTGATGGTAAGCCAGCTTCTTTATTAATTATTCAACCCTGAGCTTTTCCTTGCTATGTCAAGTCAAAAAAAAAAAAGAACTATGGATAAATACTAGGCGACAATAAATGTTGTGAGTTCATGCAACACTTGGGAGCCAGAAGATGCACATTATTGCACAGTAAATCATTTGATCATGGTGGACTGATGTGGTTATCTCTGACAAGCAAGACAACTGACGGAACAAGACACATCTCCACCTTTGCTCCTCTCTCACAGGTTACAAGCCGTCACCTCGTCCCGGATACAAGAAACCACCACCCAACGGATGTGGCTCCCCCCTGTTTGGATTTCAGGTAGTCTGACAGAGAGTTATGGAGGTTCCTTACTTGTTTTGGACAAGCACACTTATTGTGTTATTCCTGATGTTCCAGATGTTTTTATATTGCAAACAAATCAGGTCGATGTCAGAAATAAACAACTCTTTAATTAATAACCAAATTTCAGGGGTTCTTGTATAAAATGACCATTAGTGCGGTAATGTAAAAAAATAAAACAATTAGTCAATATGTTATTGGATTTTCTACACGATACTAAATGGTGAACAAATGACATACTTTATTTTACTTGTCTTTTCCACATATTTGAGCAATGGTTGTGTGATTGTGTTATGTTAAATTTTCTTACTTGCTGTGTGAATTGTGCTTTTTTTTTTTTTTTTTTGTCATTGCTGAAACTTAATTTTTCATATTTTACTGAACCATTATCACATATTTTGAATTGAGGGAAATGCATGCCTCCTACTGGCAGCAACATTTGATTGTTATTCTAAAATACATTATAAAGAGAGACAAATGTGTTTTTTTTCAGTTTGACATTGGCATCCCGTCCATGACCAAATGTTGTAACCAACATGACCGCTGCTACGACACCTGCGGCAGTGAGAAGCACGACTGCGACGAGCAGTTCCAGGACTGTCTGGAGACCATCTGCAGGAATGTGCAAAGAACTCTGGGATTGGCCCAGAGTGTCCAAGGTAAGAGGCTGAGCCGATGGACTCGTCTCATTTCTAGATGTTGTGCACACTTCACTTGCATTCATAGTTAAATTGTAATGATGTTGCTGATTAAAAGTGAGTTTTAACATGTCGCAGTAGGAAAAGCACGGGTGTAAGTAATACAATAAAGAAAGTGTTGGACTACGGCGAACCGTTTGCACAAAATGTTGGGAAGAAGCTATGCTTCAGCGGTAGACAATTGCAAAAAATTTCATTCACATCTTATGAAATCAACAAATTCATTATCTGCTGTAGTTTAAGGATAAATAGGGAAGTTGCAGAGCTGGCGCAAGTTAAGTGTACACTGTGTAAAACACAGCATGTCCAGCAGAGGGTAAGATAGTTACTGTTTAAGCACACTGTGAGTCTTGACTCATAACTACAACATCACGGTCGTTATTAATTTGTACATTTGAATCGGTCTGATCTTGACTATGGTTATGAATTGAGATTAAATTCTAATCCAACCTGTCGTCCTAACTTCCTCTCTATGCTGCCGTGAGTGTGAATAAGATATTGCTGTGTCATTTTATTTTGAAAACAAAAGTAAATATTAAATGTATCTTTAGTCTACAATAAAATCTGTATTTGATCAGTAATGTATGCTGTATTTAAATACACACAAACATGTCTGACTCACTTGCAGTAAGGTGTTAACAGGTACCTGTTATTAAACTAGCTCACCTGTTGTGTATTAGGTCATGATCTTCTTTTTGTTTCTTTTCTGTCCTTCTTGGCAGCTTGTGAGTCAGCAGTGACTCTGCTGTTTGACGCCGTTATGCACATGGGATGTAAGCCATACCTGGACAGCCAGAGAGAGTCTTGTGTGTGTCAGTATGAAGTGAAGAGGGAACTGTGACATCGCCACAGGACAAAGACTGTGGAAAGGACTGATTCAAAGCGCAGCACTGACAGGAGCCCAGCAATAAAGTTGTCTTTCAGATTTGCTCAGGGATGGAGCTTCTTTGGCCCGCACTGACTTGTGTCCATCGTCTCCCTTTTATTGGAGTTTTGAAATGTAGACATCTGTTAGACAAAGTGAATGTGAAAATACCTAGTGAACATGTAATATCTATATCTATGCAGTTTATTATTTTGTTAATACGGTGTAATGTGTTTGTCATTTGATGGACTGGAGACAGCGTGGTCAGAGTTTCCCTGGCTCTTCGTTGTTTGGGTAGCAGCCAACACTATTTTATGGGTTAGTAAATTCCTAATAATTCCCAAAAGTTTGTGGTATTAAGAAAAATAAAACAATATATTTTGGCACTTATTATGGGTAAAACATAGTGATGTAAATTGAGCTGTTCTTACAAGGAAGTTCCTAAACTGACTAAATTAACAGTTTCAGACCTTTGTCTTTATTTCCCCTGTAATACACACCAAATGTATTTAGTTCCAGGTCAACTTTCAATAAATTAACATATATTACTGTTGAATATACCATTACCGCACAGTTCCCCCTCCCATAACCCAAATAGGAACATGTGATGAATAAGAAGTCTGTTCCTTGTGTATGTGTAAAATGTTTTTCTGTATCACATGATGGGGATTGCACCAATGTGATAACACTGTGGATTAAATGCGTCATAAATATGAAGAAACATGCTTTTATTGATAATTCTGTGTGTCACGTGTCGTCATAGACATTATTGTAGAAACTGTTTCTAGTAAACAGCATTCAGGGTGGAGTCGACTCCCATTGATACCTCATCAAAGAGAAAAGACATTATTTTAATAATGTGAGATAATTCTATTTAACAATAGTCTGGATTAGAAATGTAGCCCCTCGTAATTTCTTCGACTGCTCTAACCCTAATCTCATTTATGATCTGAATCAGACTTCATGACATAGTTAATCCCTGTATTTATACGTTTGATTAGTCGCCGTTGCAGTGTGGCGAGCACGTAACCTCTGTCTTGTTGAACTTTGACTGACGGGCGTGAGAGCCAATCGCATTCTCCGGTTGTCACTTTCAGCCAATGAGATTTAAAAGGGGGAGGGGCTAAATATCCCGGCTCATCGGTGTTGCTCTGAGGAAGCGATTCATTTTTCTGCGGTGGCAGTTGGAGCGGAGTCAAAGCAGGGACCATGTCAAACACGACAGAAGACAGATGTAAAGGTAACACATTTACACGAACGTTTGTTATTAACAGTAGACATCAGTTGTAGACATTTTAAAAGTTGGAAAATTAAATACGACTTTTCTTGTTCGATGTAAAAGGCTCAGTATCATGATTGAAGCTCGCTTTACTACTTTCTATGTTCCATCATAAGAGTTGTCACGCCTTTACTGCCGGTCACAATGTTAGTACAACAGGTTTTTATTTTAGGAAAACATACTGAATGTCGGGAATTAATTGCTCTTTCTCTCGCCTTCCCAGGAAGTGCTGCTAAACACTACAAAGCAGCAGAAGCACCAGACAGGGCGGGTGAGTGTTTCACACACTTCTACTGTTTGTTTTTGTCAAGTTTGTGCACTATTATATACGTTTTTTGTGAATTTCCTTTGCTCATTCCGAAGCAAAAGTAAAACAAACGAGGTTTTATTACCAGTGAAGCCGAAGTGCAGTTAACTTAATAAGGGTGAGATTAATCATTAACTCAAACTGCCACGATTACTACATATCACGTTGACAGGATATCATTGCCCCATACATCCTGATATCCTTTGTCATTTAGAAACTGATCTGTTGGTTTTTTGGGAAAGTACAATTGTCCACCCAACGTGTTTGTCAATGAGGGTACACTAAATATTAGAAACACTGCTCCATGTACAGCATCCGAAATGGCCATTAAGTCAAATCTACACAGAGTGTTATACTCTTTATGAAGGTAGGATTTTATTGCAACACTGTTGTATTAGACTGCAGCAGATGACATACAGATAGTCACATACTACCTTCCAAGTGCTGCCTTTAGCGCACACAGTGTGACCCACATATCTGTAGGGTGGGGGTATGGAGGTGTCACTTTTGGCCTCTGTTCTTTTAGCAGCCTTTGCCATATTTCTTCACCGGTCACCCAGCTATTGAGGGCCACGAGGACTCTTAAGCTGATGAAACAATGGCTGCTTGACCCCCCCATACCGGCAGCAGTGGAGCAATGCATGCACCTGTAGTTGTGCTGCTGAACAAAGAAGCCTGAAAAGCAGCAAAGTATTTGTGATATCTAAAAAAATAAATTTAAAAAAAAGCTGTAAAGCCAGACTTTTCAGTGCAACGTCGTGTGCCGATTACAGTATATTCTCCATTGTTGTGTGGGTATTCATGTATGTGTTGTGTTTTATAGCGAGCACGGAGAATGTAACCGAGACTGATGCCTTCATCAGAAGGTAAACGGTTTCTTCCTGTTAGTTACTATGGCTCTTGTTTGCACTATACTATATGCTGCTAAAACGGACACCAGTATGCAACTAATGTTGTCTTTGTTCCTGGGCTCTTTGTCATTGTGAAACAGCTCTTTAGCTCTGGACCCTGCAGAGGAGTACAAGATGGACAACGGAAAACGAGGCCTCGCGCTCGTCTTTAACCAGGAGCGCTTCTTCTGGCGCCTTGGGTTAGGTGACAGGCACGGAACCAATGCCGACCGCTACAACTTGGAGAAAAGGTATCGCTACGCCGACAGCTGCTAGAGAAGGAAATGTTGTGTTCCGCAACTGTGTGCTTAAGAACTTGTCTGTACTTGTTGAGCGACTGTAAGACTTTCCTTCACCTCTCTTTTTAGACTGAAGGACCTGAACTTTGAAGTGAGGGCTTATGATAACTTCAAACAGGTGGAAGTTTTAGATAAAATCAGTGAAGGTAAGCACATGCCTGATCACTTAATTACTAATTCATACCTGCTTCCTTGTTGTCCTTTTTTAATATGCAAACTTCAGATCCAGCATGTGGTGTCCTGTTGCGTTTTACTTGTTCGGTAGCGAGTTTAACAAATACCTGATGTCCCACCAGCCGCCGAGGAAAACCATTCAGACGCCGACTGCTTTCTGCTGGTCTTCCTGAGCCACGGAGAGAACGATCACGTGTACACCCACGACGGCAAGATCAGCATTCAGCACATCACATCCCTGTTCAAAGGAGACAAGTGCAAGAGCCTCGTAGGAAAGCCAAAGATCTTTATACTACAGGTACGTGCACACGAAACCCAGTTGAATCCGGCAGAATGTGGCATAAAAAAACGCCTGTTTTAGTTTGAAATCCGAGGTTCTGTGAGAGTGAAGGTGACTGTGTATGTCATTAGGCGTGCCGTGGAGATAAGCACGATGATCCAGTGACTGCCTGTGATGCCGTGGACAACGAGGGGATGACAAATGAAGTGGTGGTGGACGCCAGCGCTGTGCACACCCTCCCTGCTGGGGCCGATTTCATCATGTGCTACTCTGTGGCTGAAGGTGAGCCCGTGGGAATGTCTAGAACTCCTGATCGGCTCTTTGGCGGCACGATGGGATGATCCACACTTGGTTTCATTGTTTTTAGAGGGTGTTAAACAGTGAATTATTTAAGACATCTATACAGGGTCCTGAGAGCTCAGGGCACTTTGCAAATCCTAATCTTTTTTTTTTACAACACATGTGCAGCATTTAGGGAATAAAATGCTGCAAATGGATGAAAACACAACCAAGAACAGAAATGTGCTGCAGGTAGCAAAGACAAACAGGAAGTGTTTCTAAGGGACACGGAAAAAGCTGCGACACGGTTGTTGCTTCCGTGGGTTTGTGACTCACGAAGTTAAGAAAAAATTGCTAAAATGTAGTTATAGATGTTGTAGATATTTTAACATAGTGATCGCATGAGTTAGATACTATTGCAGATATTTGTTAAGCGTTGCCAATTTAAATAATTCGACGAAATACGTACAATTTGTTTTGAAACAGGCTGATAGTTATTTTCAAAATATTGCAAGTTGTTGAATTAATTAATTTTATAAAACAAGTCAACATAAGTTGCAGTTTGACGACATTTATAAATGTATATATTCCCTTTCCATCAGCAGTTACGTAATTGTTAACGGATAAACAAATAAAACTCAATGATTCAGTGGTTTCATTTCAAATGGAATAAGTCATGTCAGCAGAATATCCCGAGTCTCACTTGCTTGTCCCGTTACAAGACTTGAAAGTAACTATTAACGTTTTAGCCAAAACATTAGCCCGTTTCACAATTAGTTGTATTTTGTCAGGTCAATAAATTCACGGACGAGTCCCAGCCATGTGCATCACTTTTCACTTTCCGTTGTTGTCCGTGCTATTTGCTTTGCAACTCTGTTTTGGGGGGTTTTCTCGATTTGCAGCATTTTTTCTAAATGTGCATGTGTCGTCAAATTGGTGACTATATTGTCTTAGTGTGCTTGTGTTTCGTTTATTTGCGTGCATTTTGTTAACGCACGTTGAGCTCTCAGGGCCACCATACATCACTTTGAATGTCCTTTTTTGCTGATTAGTAATTAACCATCATGTCCTATCACCTGTGTCGTTTGTTAAGGCTACTACTCCCACCGGGAAACCATCAACGGCTCCTGGTATGTCCAGGATCTGTGTGAGCTGCTTCGAAAGTACGGGGACTCCCTTGAGTTCACTGAATTGCTGACGCTGGTCAACAGGAAGGTGTCGATGAGGAGTGTTGGGAACAGTAATGACCGCACTGCCATTGGGAAGAAGCAAGTGCCTTGCTTTGCTTCCATGCTCACCAAGAAACTTTACTTCCGGCAAAAAAAGTAACAGTTTCAGACCTCAATCAAAACAGTGTCTCCTGGGAGATTTGACAGAATCTTACTGTTTTTTAAAAATCTATTTTTGATGTGAACACTATTATTCACACATGCGTTGAACAATCAGCTAATTGGTAGTATTTACAGTGCAATCAGTAGTTATAAAATAACAGGAACAACTTCTATTCACTCCACTTCTGAAACATCACGTCATTCCAAATAGTGTTTTCTTTTATCATGTTAAGTTTCTTCTGAAGAAACCAGACTTCTTGGGTGGGTCAAACCTTGACCTGGTTTATAAAAGGTGTTGGAGGTTCTTTTTGCATTTTCAAGATTCTCTTTAGCTTAACTTTTTTTTTTTTTTTTTCAATCGTGACAGAAAAGTGTAGAGGATAGTTTTTCAGACTGTGTGGTCTTGTTGTATTGGATTGCATTATGTTTTACGGTGTTCCTGTTATTTTGTCCAACCCATGTAGATCAGTACACTTTTTTTTGCACTCTCAAGAAATTGCTTTTCAACTGCGAACCACAATCTGTGTTCTTTTCCTTAGCCTTTTGTCACATTTCCGCTTGCTTTAATCTAGTTTAAACTACTCCGGTACCACACCAACGTTGCCTTATCCCACAGCTGCCTTTTAGTTTTTCCTAAATAGCAGAGTAGACGGTAGAAGCTGACATTCCCGGCAGCCTTGGACGGGGATTCTTTCCTCAGACTCTGAGGAAGCTGGAAATGTCAGATGATTGTTTGTCTCGACTGTAAAATCAGCTGCAGGAATGTCTAGAACCAGACCAATACTTCCCAATGTTCTGTATCTTGGGAGGCAGGTGACAGCATGACAACCAGGTCACTCATGATTTTGTTCACATCAGGGTTTAATACTTCCTAATCTCTCTATAAGCACCAATGAATGGGTACTATCTCTCATATCAAGGCACCACATAAACATGCCGTTTTGTCTTCAAGCTCGCTCCATCAAAAAGGGAATTCATGTTTGTGCCGTTCTTTGTGTTGTATCAATTTACAGTACTACATTTAATAATGCATATTTGCCCCCAACATGGCAACAATCACCTGTGTGTAAAGTACCTCAGGGAGGAGAGGTGTTTTTAAAGCTGTACTGTGGATCTGAAACACTTGCATCACATGACCTATGACTCAGGAAAAAACAAAGCTACCAGCATTCATTGGTCCTGGATTATTGTTGCGACTTTGCGTATTCAAATCGCTTATGACATTTCAGCTACTGTTTTGCTCTCCATTGAGTGAAAACATTTTATAAAACTTTCAGTCTTTTTGTGGCAAAACGTGTATTCGTGTGATATCTTTATTTCCCCTGAAGTCTCCATCCATTAAAAGAACTTGGAGTTATGACTTGTCTTTTAGCAGCGAATACATCCACAACAGCACAGATCAGACAGGACATGCTCACAATGTTTGGGAATACTTTATATTTCATTAGTCCTCAGTGTTTGTACTTTTCTCAAAGACATAATTGGCATCATTATCAAGACTAAACAAAACACAGAATGACATGGATTTCCGGTAGAAAGGCACCATTATCAAAATAAAGCAGAAAATTCGTTTTTACTCTGGAGCGTTACGGTCTAAGTGACCATTATTCATCATGGCTTTGTTCACGGCTTAGGCTGGAGCTGTTCAAGTGGAAGCTGAAATTGAGTGGGATATCTCAGACGTCTCAGGTCCTCCTCCACCTGACGCATAGAAAACACAGACCACTCGTCACTAATGGCTGAGTCAGCAGGATTCACATAAGGCAGTGGATTATCCTTTTTATACTTTATGGAAACAATGAATGCTTAAGAGTACAATTTTCATTTCATTAGAACATCCTGATGTTTCCCCATCAATCTCAGCTGTACTTTGTGTTTAGTGCTAACTCACAAAGACTAAACTATGGTGATGTAACATCAGTAACATTAGAATAGCTAAACATCAGCATGTTAGTATTGTCATGTAAGCGAGTTAGCATGCAGATGTTAGCATTTAGCTCAAAGCACGAGCCTCAAGGAGCTGCTAGCAGGGCCGTAGACTGAGCTTAAAAAAAATTCTCTAATTTCTGCTCTTACATCTTTATACTTTAGCACATGTTCTTCCTACATTTGTATGTGTCCAAAATGTGTTGGTGAGGTAGGTTGTGACTCTAAAGTGTCTGCGTCTGCAGGATTGTAAAGAGTGAACCAATCGACCAACCTCAGCCATCTCGTCCTTCAGTTCATTGTATTTTTCAACGTTGAAGTTGTTCTGGCTGGCCGCCTTATAAAAGTAACGCAGGAACTGTCGGTCTTTAGCGTCTGGGTATAAATAATCCTGAGGGAAAGAATATTTGTTATTAATGTGACGAGGAAAAACATACATGCACACATAAGCATGATTTTGTAGAACAGAGCTTCATGTTTGAACAACGATCTTAAAAGGAGTAAAGTTAGATATGGCAGTGATGTCAATATTTTAAATGTCTGTTAAATATGAATATATAACAATTAGGCATTTAGCTCGGCATAAAGACTGGAAACGGGGAAACAGACAGCCTTTTTCTGTCTGTAGATATCAACAATTTGTGGGGTTGTGGTTTGCGGTTAGGTACCGAACCATGGATGTATAAAGATAGCTGGATACAGCGTTGGGGGCGGGGCCCTGTTCATACCTATAGAAGTTGCTCAGTAGCACATGAAGACTAGAAAATTACCCCATTCCTACATTGTCTGGTGCTGGTCTGCGGATCTCCACACCTTCAGACAGAACCAGGCTAGTGGTTTTCAGTCTCTATGCTAAGCTAACTGCTGGTTTCCTGTTTAATGGATGGACATAAAAGTCTTATTGAGACTTGCCTGTTTGGTAAGGACGTAATAGGTGAAGACTCCGATGCTGGTGGCGTAGGTGATGAAGTAAGTGACCGGCTCCATGACGTCCCATGAATAGACCCACCATGTGAGCCAGGTCAGAGCGCCACCCTGCACAGATAACAAGGCCATGCCGGTCCAGATGACCCTGGAGCTCCGGAAATCTGCTGTGAGGGACAGCTGTGCCCTCATCTGTTGTGGTCAGGCAATAATACAAGAAAGGGATGGGTTACCAGCCAACAAAACCCAACAGGACAGTCATCTGGTCCTTTCAAAACGGCAATAAAAAGAGTCGGTCGAGGGGATGTAATGAGGGAGAAAGAGCGGTTCGGTGGCATACAGATGTTGAGACACATCTACTAACCTTCTCCAGAGGGGACAGCTCCTGTTTGAGGTTGTCCAGTCTCTCCAGCAGCTGCCTCTCTTTCAGCAGGTGGTGTTCAGGCAGGTGGAGCGCCGTGTGCAGCAGATGCACGACATGCTTCATGTCCTTCAACTCCAAGGCATGCTCACTGGTACTCACTGCAGAAGAATAAGGAAACAGTGAGATGAGTCATGCCTGGAGAGATAACCACTGCTATTCATCAGCAGGCCTCAGTATCAATTGCGGAGAAGACGACGTGAGGACCATTTATGACCGGACAGAAATGTGCTGTACCCTTTTCAGGAGCGCAGACATTATGAACGGCATCATTGATGACGAGCTGGAAGTCCTTGTCCAACAGGGCGTCTATCAGCATGGTGTTTGATATCGGCTCTCCATCTGTCAGAGGAGGGCAATCGTTTAGTACTTTTATTGCAATCCTATAACTTTATATTCTCATGGCTCAGTAAAACAAATGTTTTCCAACAGGCTGGCCATTTAAGCTAAAAAATAAAAAAGTCAAAATTAGATTTTCACACGTAGTACTCAAACTATAATAACCCCCTTACTCGATAATTTATTCAAAAGTCAATGAATTTTTTTCCTCACTCATAAATAGTAGGTTATTTAGTAGGCTTGAGGGAAATAGGCTGGGAGCCACTGCACTACATAAAGCTCATAAAAGGAGGCAGTCGATCATTTACAGCCCACACTGAGTTACTCATCACGGCTGAACCAAAGGTCTTCTCAAAGGAAGGAGACATATGGGAGAAAATAAGGAGGACGCCAATGTTGCATAATGTAATATCTGTGCACCTTAGTTCCAACATGCCCCATTTCCTGAAATGATACATCATCTACACGTCACTCTGCCTCAGGTATTTGCATGACACCTTTCAGCAGCTTCTGTACAATGCGCCTGCATGTGTTGCATTCAGGTGGTGTAGATGGACGGAGCGATTGCTCAGGAAAACAGCCTGTTCTTCCAGTCAGGAGAATGTGAGTCGCACCCCTTACTTAAAATGCACTGCAGGGGTGTTGCATTATGGACCGACAGGGACAGTTCAAATACAGTGCTTCCTTGTAACTGCCCTTTACAGTTAGCTGTATTTCACCTATTGCAGTGGATAAAGGGAAGAGTAAGAAAACAAATGTTTCTGTTGAAGAAAACTCTTCATTTTCTAACTTTTCTGCTTTTGCTTTGGTGAAATACTGGCTGCTTTTACCTCTTTATGTCTCTAAAAATCCTTTCAGATGAAAGAAAATCACTCGTTGGTTGAGCTGCTCATGAGTGACACTTAACATTAACATATAGTCAGTGGAGAAAATTAGATAATGGTTTGTGTAAACTGCAAACATTGTGTCAAACCAGTCCACTCAAACCACTTTCACTCTCAACACAGAACCTGTCAAACCACCTGACTGACTAAAGCCATAAGAATGTGACCGGGCTGGTGCATAGCTAAGCTAAGCTAACGCGTGTGGAGGCCTACCCTTGGTGAAAACTGAAGTTGTGGCTCCGGGGTCTTCTCGATGCAGATCTGCCACCAGGTCTCCTACGCTCATTAGCATGGGCCTGAGGAAGAACAGACATTTCTCTTGCCTGGAGGGCAAGGGGACCTCCAGAACCAAACGGCCATATTTGTACCTCAAAGACACATCTGCAACACAACGAGGAGGAAATCATCTTTATACTATATGTCTTGTGCACAGATCATCAAGTCAAGCTTTCCCTCCCCTACCCCAGCTGGAGAGGATGTAGTAACTGTGTATTACCACTGGAGGGTGCGAGGGTACTGTAGAAAAGAGCTCGACAGTCTCCAAGTACAGACGGCCTTTTTTGAACCTGAAAAAGAAAAGAAGGAAATAAATAAATAAAGACAAAACACAACAGAGTCAGAAAGAACACAGAGAGCATTAGAAGCTTGTTCCGATTGTTCCGTCTTTAAACGTTTGAGCACAGAGAACAATCGGAACAAGCTGCCCCGGTAAACTGACATTAAAGAGTAAAACGGATCCAGAGCGGCGTGACATGAAGGATCTGAAAAAAGAGCCACTCAAAAAGTAAGAATTTCTTCAATAACTAGGTGTCTTTGAACCTCCCTTTCTAACCGGTGTGTAATCTATCTGACGAGCCTAAAGTACAGATTCTACTGATTAAACCAGCTCTTCATTAAAGGCTGCAGCCTTTAACGCTTAATGAAATGCCAGTTTGTTTCTCAATAAAAAAAAAAGTACAATTGTATTCTGGAACTGCTGCAGATAATAGAGAGGGCCTCCATAGGGTACTGCTCATTATTCTCCACCACCACTCTACCACTCCGTACTTGACATTCCTGGGGTGTAGTCTTTTTTTAGTTTACATGTAAACATGTATTTTTTAATGTTTAAAGCCTCTAGGACGTGCCACAAAGCAGACACAAAGAACTTCACAGTAGACAATCAGCTGAATATCTCCATAATATCAAACCAACATGATTGTACTAAATGTGACAATTATATGTTCAGATTCTGGATAGTAGTGATACATATTTTGGCTTTCACTTTCCTACTAAGAGCAGTGAACACTAGCTTCCTGGTGTTGAAACACTTGGGCCGCCTGAACCTCAACAACAGATTCCTCTGCAGCGTTTCCTATTCAGCCGAGAGTCAAGACGGGTCCAGCTGATATATAGGGATGTGGCAGCCACTCTCTCCCATCGCCTTTGTCCTCCAGCTGGGAATTTGTTCGATCAATATCCCATTAAAGAGGAGCGGCCCGTTTTCATGGACTGACACAGCAGCCAGGCCTTGAGGCACAGTGATTGAGTGGAGGCCAGATGTGCAGAAGTCCTTCACACTCCGCTGTTTAGAAAACGGGACTTTAACAGGAAAACAACATTCACAGACCGAAATGAGTAACTGTGTTCATGACCAGAGGCTTTTGTGTGTGTGTGTGTGTGTGTGTGTGTGTGTGAACATGAACCACGAAGACAACAACCCATTCTGGACTATAGTGGCAGAAAGCCAGGAGGTGAAACAGAGAGAAATGTAGGCAAGCTTAAAACGGTTCTTGTTATCTGGAGATTACGTACACATTTCCAGTGTTTGTCAGCTTGGTAATGACGCTGTGCACCACACTGTGAAGGACAACATGCATAAATACTCTGTCCCAAAAAGAGCAAAACCAAGTGAAGCTGTTCAGCTTGTGTGAGATCTCCAGATGCTATTGTACAGCTGAAAGCTGTCACAAAGCTTTACCACCTACGCATCAGCACACCAGCTCCCAATGGACCATGGGAAAACTTATTTTTAGGGGATATACAGTATATATATACGTGTGAATTATTACGTACCAGTGAAACTTAACAGTTGGCTTGAAAGAAGCATAGTTAAGTGTTCATAGCTTTTCTCATTGTTGAAATACTGTTTTAAGTGGTGATACATTCAGCGCAGTACAGATGCATATAATCTATCTTTGTGTAGTTTTATATTTTGACACACTGGTCATTTTCTGGAAAATCTGAAATAATTTATAGGACGTTTCTGGCTTCCCATAAGCTAATTTGCAAATGGAATATCTGAAAGGCCAGGTGCTTCATCACGCTGATGCATAAATCACCAGAAACACAAATCCATACTGTCCATTCAGCAGTCCCACTTATGGATTTGCAACATTGGCCTCATGTGGTTGCCCAACCTGGGGTCTTAAATAAAATGGGTTTTTTTCTGACTTTACTATATTACTATCTAGCAATCGGTCACTGCCTTCGTATACTTAAGCCCTATAAAATCTTTCTAATACAACAATCTGAGAAAGAAATATTGCTCTTAGGTTAAACTGCTCACCTCCACATTGAGGCCATAACGTGTAATGTGGGTTTGCAAGGAGACACGGTTTTGTTTTAGGGCGGCAGGAGCCAAAAGAATTGGGAACCACTGGCCCTAATACAACCAGAGAAATTGAAGGGATAGCTGGAATAAATGGTATATAGATGAATCTCTTGACAGTTGACAAAAAGTCTGTTATTCTGAGACTCCTTACAGTTAACCTCAGACAGCAACGCACATTGCCAGTATGTTAAACAGCCTGGAACCACGTCTTATAAGCCTCCTCCACCACCTTCTGCAGCCATAGCGCCTCATTAAACTGAGTGGTGCAGGCGCTGACTGCCAACGCATACAGTGGGTGCACCAGAATAAAATGCCTATTCCTCGTCGCTCTCGTTAGCTAACACTTCACGTCAAAAGTAGTTTATTTTGAGCAACAACTGTGCTCACATTGCTGATGTGTAAACACTGGAGCTATATGCATCAAGGGCAAGGCTGGACTGTTTGTCTCTTTACGTTGTGTGTGTGTGTGTGTGTGTGTGTGTGTGTGTGTGTGTGTGTGTGTGTGTGTGTGTGAGCGATAATATGGAGACAATTCAATGGCTGACTGAGTCCAGGCAGTTTGTATGCTATGTGCACACATACCAATCCCATTCTAAATCAACAGAACATGGCAGATAATGCAGCTTGAGAGCCATGTGATGAATAGACCCTTTCTACAGCCATGCTGCTGGCCCTGTGTTATTACTTTCTGCAGCACATAGCACTACGACATTACAGAACAATTTGGAACGTGTATTTATAGCACAGACGACCCCGAGAGTTAGGTTTTTTTTGTATCAGACTATTAGTGGACGTGCCCCCCCCCCCCGGCCTCATTACAGCTAATGACAGAGAAAAGGAGGAAGTGCAACAACGTTTTTTATGTTCCTTGTGGGGACAATTTGACTGCTAAATGCCGAGAACTCACAGGCAGACAATATAAATATATTTTTTTATTATTCAAGACTGTCTACAGCACAGCAGTGCTTTGAGCTCAATGATGACATTAGCACGCTAGCATGTTAACAATTGGTTAACATATTGATGTTTAGTAGATAGTTTGCAGGGTTAACCATCTTAGCGGGTTAGCAAGCTAACACTAATGCTAATTAGCATTAAACACAACGATAGCGCAGCTGAATATCATTCATTTTGCAGGTATTTGATCATAAACCAAAGTACTAGACAAATTAAAATCTCTGCTTCTCCTGACAAAGCACAGAGAAACACACACACACACACACACACACACACACACCATTATCTGCTCAAGTAGACATTATTCCACTATATCTTTATAATTCAAATAGTTTGCTGCTATATTAATGACCTGAATATCAAATTTAGCACTGGTATTCATTCACTCTAATTCTCTAACACAACACGTCAGTGCAGGATTATGAAGTGACGGTAATATTGACACTATTACACAATTTACATCTCTGTGAATTTAAGCTACATTGAGGTCGTACACATTTTGCTGTGATTCTTTCTTTTTGTATGCGGATTAGTTTATAATTTCTACTTGTTCAGAGATGTAGAATGTGTGGAAGACGGCGATTATAAGCACTAGAATGCAAGAAGCGTCAGCTAGTGTGTTGGAATATAAATAAGTTAAAAAATGGTTTCACAGGGGTTACACCCATGCAAAGAGGCAGACACACCCATAGGTTAAATAAACACATGACAAAGTGTTGTAACAGACTGCAGGTTGAAGACTGTACTGCCTGAACAAGCCTGTACAAACACGAGTAATAGGCGATCACACCCATGTCACAAGACACAGCCTGCAGGAAGGAATGGGCGATGCTACTCCACATGACGACTAACGTCACCACCGTCTCCTCAATTTAACACTTGTTCACTTGTCAAAACAAAACAGCCTTCCCATTTACACAGCTAATCAATATTCAGAATGCAGGGCAGTCGCTGTTTATTCAATGTCCTTTCGCACAGTTCGGGAGTCAATTTGCTGCTGCGGGGAAACAACCCCGCACACCTGCTTCTCATCTGAAAACAATTTCCTCCAACGATTTTTTTCTGAAAACAATCAGCATGAAGGTATATTTACCCCTTGAGCTGTGCATTTGTTTATGTATGCCACGCCAACAGGGAGAGAGGGCAGCGAGAGGAGACAAACTGTCATCTCCCTCTTCTGCAGTGAAGCGGGCCGGGGGATCCTGCTCGAGCAACGATCAGGGTTATCATGGTGACAAGCAGCCTCATTTTCCCTGCAGCCTCCCAGCAGGTCACTCCATGATGAATCCAGTCACAAATGGCCTGATGCATCAAATATATCTCCTCCCACTCTCATTAAGGGACAGGGACGTCACTTTTCCACACACACACACACACACACACACACACACACACACACACACACACACACACACACACACACACACACACACACACACACA